GATTTTATGGTATTTATCCTCTCCCAAAGGGATTTTAAATCCAGCAAAGCATTTCTGGCATATTTTTAATATCAGGATTGCAACAAAAATTTAACTTTATTTTTCCAATTTCCCTGACTTTTCCCTGATTTCCAGATAGAATTTTGACTTTTTCCCTGACGATAAGGAATATTCTGCGATTCACTCTAAAAATTATTAGATACTAAAAAAAAATTCTACTATAATTTATTTACAAATTTCTTCAAAAGTAAAATTATTCGCAAACATCGATAGTTTTATTTAAAATAAATATTTAATCATTACTTGTTTTCACTGGAATTAAGATGTTAAAAAATTTCAAATTCAAACCTTTTCAAATTGAACAACTGATAAGGATATTATTATAACATCTTTTTTTTTAAATCTAAACTTGAAGATTAGTAATTTTTAAGTTTTAACATCTTATGTCAGCCATAATTATTAAATTTTAAATAAAAGTATGAAATACTTTTTGCTTTAAACATAAAATGTGAAATGAAACTGTAGACTTTAGGACCTTAAGAAACGGTGCGGTATTAATTCTGAAAGATTTCCTTTTACCGCAACAACAATAGGTTCTATAGGCTATGCGTCTACTATGGTAGCGCTACAAGGGGGTTGCTTGCTTCGCTCGTGTCGGACAATATCCATTGTCTAATTGTTTGCCTTATAAGATGATGAGTTTTCAATGAGACAAATTATCGGCCTTTGACGATGGACTGGTACCAATCTCACAAACAATTTCAAGAATTTTTCCAAGTTAACTTGTCATTATAACTTTTGAATAAAATTATGCCACTGACATTTGTTGAACATAAGTTTAATTAACAATTAGTTATAGATAAGTCACGGTGACGCGATCATTATTAAAAATATAATTTAAATCTACGTAAACTTAAAAGTCAGAATACTTACCATCGTCCATCCGGCGCCTGCATCTCCAAAATATTATTCGATTGTATAAATTACAAATATTTTTTGTTTATTTATATTATTATTTATTTAGAGTATAAGAACATACTATCTTGCATCTTTCATGCTGAATAAAATTCTCTAAATTTTCCAAAGACCCAACGTTGTCAGGACCACGAACTATATCTGCAAACTGAATGAATGGTTAACGCGAGGAAACTTAACTTAACCTTCTGCCGTTCGCGTTACTGACTTATCTCCACTCTAGGGGAATAAAGCACATATACTCCACCAGGCGTCTCTCACAGTAGAGAAAAGTGTTTGTGGACAAATTTATCTTCATCAACAAGATTTTTCGAATACTTAAAGAAAGTGAAATTTTTCCACATACTCTGCATAAAATTTAAACTGAATGCATTTTGCACTTTGCGAGGCAAGTGTCTAAGAGTTTTTTTTTAAATATAGGTCACCTAATTCAATAGCGACGTTGACAATCGAATTTAAATAAAATTGCAATGACTGACGAATTTTATGTTTTATTTTCCTACTAGAAACTGATATCAATTTTTAACATACATTTATTAACATTAACATTTATAAATAATATATATTTAATCGTCATTAGTTGAAATAATTATTGTTTCCAAATCATAATAATGATGGTGTTACTTTTATCGCGTTTTGTAAATATCATCTCAAAATTTGTGTCGACAATGCGATATGAATGATTATAAATTACATTAATGAAGCACATTGTCTATCGATTTTCTTTTTTATCGTATTTCCCTGCCTACCATCAAGAAAATATATTCATTTTTTTTCCCTAATGCTTGAGGTTTATAAGCTTTTTACCTCACTTTTTATATACATAGCAAGTATTGGAAAAAATATTTCCGTTTACAATTTTATATTTATTAATTCAATACATTCTCTTACAATCTTTTCATGAGAGAAAAAAAATGTTTTTATAACTTTTTTTTTCGAATTTTTTTTCATCCGGAGAATGCTTGATTAAATATTAATATTAATTTTCCATAAAATGAAAAAATGAAAAAAAACAAAACAAATATTATTGCATCAACTTTAGAAAAATTTTTTTAACCAATTTATCATTTTTAATCCATTAAAAAATATGCGGCCTCTTCACATTTTTTTCGATTAGTGGTTTTTTTATTGTTGGGGTAGAATTGTGCAAAAAAAATTGTATTTCTATGAAAGGAGAGAGAAGATTTATATTTTAATAATATTTTCAAAATCTTTTGAAGATACGAAGATATTACTATGACTTCAATTATTCTTTTGTAAATCCGCCAGAGATTTTATTTTTAATAATATTTTTCAAATAAAATTTTAATTCTACTCCCTAGGGCTTTTTTTACTGTTGCTCTGTATCATCTCAAGATCAAAAAAAAAAAAAAGAAAGAAAGAAAAATAGAACGGAAAATATTCAAACACTTAAGAGCATTAATGTTTGCTGAATATGCTTTAATATTTATTTAGGATAAATTTTACGAAAAGGTACAAATTTTTTTTTTAATTTAATTTTCATGAAACTTTGTACCTAGGGGTTTTCGGGGTCGCTGATTACAAATTTACTGTTAGATTTTCAAAATTCAAAATGGCGGATCCAATATGGCGAACTGAAAAATTTTAAATTTAATAGATTTTTATGAAACTTGATACCTAGGGGTTTTATAGACCTCTGATTACGAATCTAATGCCAGATTTTCAAAATTCAAGATGGCGGATCCAATATGGCGGACCAAAATTTTTAAATTTAATAGATTTTTATGAAACTTGGTACCTAGGGGTTTTCGAGGTCGCTGATTACAAATCTACTGTTAGATTTTGAAAATTCAAAATGGCGGATCCAATATGGCGGACTGAAAATTTTAAATTTAATAGATTTTTATGAAACTTGATACCTAGGGGTTTTATAGACCTCTGATTACGAATCTAATGCCAGATTTTCAAAATTCAAGATGGCGGATCCAATATGGCGGACCAAAATTTTTAAATTTAATAGATTTTTATGAAACTTGGTACCTAGAGGTTTTCGAGGTCGCTGATTACAAATCTACTGTTAGATTTTCAAAATTCAAAATGGCGGATCCAATATGGCGGACTAAAAATTTTTAATTTAATAGATTTTTATGAAACTTGGTACCTAGGGGTTTTCGAGGTCGCTGATTACAAATCTACTGTTAGATTTTCAAAATTCAAAATGTCGGATCAAAATATTTAGCACTTTAATATTTTAACACTGTATGAAGATAGGATTTTAATTTTTTTTATGGGAAAGCGTTGGACGATGAAGGGTTAAATTGTTTCGGAACATGCAAACGGGACTTGAGGTTTTATTTTTTAAATATAGCCTAACAGAGAATGTGGATTTGAACCAAGGGTATAAGTGCTGAGTAGAACCGGAGCCCTATATACTGTCTTCGAAAAAAACTGAACAGTGAAAGTAAAGTGCTTTTTACTACCTAACGTAAAAGCTATGCACCCAGGGCTCGTGGATGAGAAAATAACGTTCGCGAAATCCAGCCATTTTACTCCTCCTTTTTTATGTATACTTTCGAACTTGTGAACTAGGTCTGAGATTACGTATATATATTCTATACGCTTGCGAAAAACATTTTGCATAAGAAACTTATACAAACCACAAAAGAGAAACTTTTGTGGGTACAACTACAAAATTCTAAAAGTTAGATCAAAATTTAAAAATATTTCTAACCTAGGTTTTAAGTTTGATAATTTCACAATGAATTAAAATTAAGATTCGCGAATAAAAATTAAATTCTAACAAATGTAAAAATTTGAATTTTGAAATAGTTTCAAAAGAATTTTTTTTTTTTGGCTTTGAAAATATATGTAAAGTATTTGAAAAGAGAAAATTTAAAATTTGAATCAATTTAAGCAATAAAATTGTAAATGAGGTACGAATACTTTTCAGCTTGAAAACTTTTTAGCTCCGGGATATTCCAAGTTTTGAAACGCGGCATTGAAATTAATTGTTTGAGAGAAGTATACTTTAAGCTTAGTGTAATTTCCATACTTTAAAATCCAGAAACCAGAGAATGAAAAAAAAAATTTTTATGAAACAATAGTATTTAGAGAAAACCTTTGAAAATTCCATTTTGTATTGTTTTTCAATAATGAAATTCGATTGTGTAAATTAGAAATTTCTTTTGACAAAAGGACTATATGAGGGGGAGAGAAAAAAAGAACTCGAGATAAAATGTATTTAAAGTTTTATTCCTATTAGAAAATTTAATTTACAATTTTTAGAAAAATTTTTTATATACACATATAAAACTTGGCAGATAAATTCTTATAGCTGCGCAAGTGAAAAATAAATTTAATTTACAAATATAAAAGATATATACGTTGGCAAATTTATCTCACAAATATTTTGTACCGAACAATATGCCAAGTTTTCAAAGCTTTCGAAGAAGCATTACAGGAATGTATTTAATGCGGAAAATCCAATTTTCATTTTGCTTTTGCCTTTGATTTGTGAAAGTGTAGAAATCCCCCCCGCGCATATAGACCTCCCTTCCTCCTCCCACGTTTGATACATATATTTTCCGAATGGGACATTCTTCGCCCACGCAGCACGCAATATGAATGGAATATCGATTATGAGGAAGTTATTGCTGCGCACATAATGTATTCTTGATACGTGTCAAATGTATATTAGTTTCCCGAATATTGAGCAGTAAAAGCATTAGATTACTTTACATACATTTCACCATGTTGAAGCATATATCATCGTTTGCAATAAATTTATTTATTCCTTTTAAAAACGTACCTCTGTACCTTGAGAATTTTTTTTTTTTTTTTTTTTTTTTTTTGATAATTCATAGAGGTTGTGAATAATATTCGATTGTGTAAATTACAAATTCTTTTTGTACAATATAAATATAGACTGATTGAATTAAAGAATTGTTTTGTATTTTTCTTTCACTAGAGAATTGTATCTGGGGAAAAAAATTAAAAATTAGTTTATAAAAATGTATAATAGTTTAAATTTGCTTACCAAAAATTCGCCTTTACTTTTGTTGCAGATCTAACAAGTTGAAGCCATTTTGGCAGAGCGTGAACGAGCCTCTTCCGGTTCTAGAATATCTATCTTCCGCACTACTGTCTTCCGAGTATGAACACGCTTTGGCACGAGCTCTGGCAATGTCAGAATGCCCAGTGGTACCATTCTTTGGGGCCTTCCTGCGGGAACTGCGGGAAGTTTCCTCTTTCGTCTGCTCGAAGGTAATATTTTTTTTATTTAAAGAACCCTCGGAATTGTTCTTTGTTTTTTCATTTTATTCCTAGAGTATAATTTATTTTTCTATTATTTAATTTTCAATTCCTTACTCACTAATTCAAAATTTGTATTTTTTCTTACCTGTTTTTATAAGTAAAGTAATTTTTCGTTGCCTTAAGTACAAAACATTTCCTATTATCAAAATACAATAATATAAAAAATATCACTAACAATATAGGGGGAAGTAAAAATAGCAGGAAGAAAAGGTGGAAATACACTCCACACACACAAACACACACACGAAAAAAACTAAATTGATTTATTTCTCTTTCACATATTCACAAAGGAATATTCGCAAAAGCTATTAGGCGAGAAAGAAATTCATTTTTCCCTGCTATGTGATACATAAGAGAACATTATGCACATTAAGATGAATGACCTTTCACCTTAGCATCTATCTCATTAAAATCGTCTTTCTCTAGAGAAAAATTTGTATGCACAAATATGCAAAAAATTTCTGTCGTTGAAAAATATTATAATTTCTATTATTGAAAAAAAAAGTCCAGAAGATGTTGAACGGAGAATATTCAGAAAATTTAATCCATAATTCCTATATTTATAAAATTAAGATTAATTATGTAAAAAAGCTAATAATAATGTTTGTGAGTTTGTAGAATTAAATTGTAAATAGAGGAGCACACGAAGTTTTTTATTTTTTTCTTTACTTTACGTAGTGAAGATGGATCCGCATTGTTCGCTTATTTGCATGTACCATCTGCGGGAAGAGATCTCGAAAAAGAGACAGCTTTATGGAATTGTCGTTCACCAAGTACTTTTGCACCTGGAATTATTTTCTTATTTTCTCAGCGACACTTCGTTCAAATGTATGTTATTTGAATATTATTAGTAATCTTATTTTAATTTCTTGTAATTTACTTCTGTAATACTATTTCTAAATACAAAACATTCAAAAAAATTTTCTATTTCTGACAAGAATGAATTTTATAATATTATTTAATTATTACAAAAGTTTTTACGCAATTATTTTGATAAGCTTGATAAATAACAAAACTCTTCATAGACATTCAATTATTTTCAGAAATTTTAATAAAATTCTTTGCAAAATTCAATTATTTTCATAAATAACAATATTCTTGACAAGAATTCAATTATTTTGAAAAGTAATAGAATATTCTATGAAGAAATTCAATTATTTTTAAAAATTTTAACGAATATCTCGTCAAGAATTCAATTATCTTTACAAATACGAACAACCTTTTCTTTAAAAATTCAATTATTCTCAAAAATTTAAATATAAAATTCTTTGCAAAATTTCAATTATATTTTCAAAAGTTTTTCGCAATTCAATAATTTTCAATATTATTTTAATAAAATTCTTTGCAAAATTCAATTATTTTCATAAATAACAATATTCATCAGAAGAATTCAATTATTTTCAAAAGTAATACAATTCTACGAAGACATTCAATTATTTTCATAAATAATAAAATTTCATTTAGTAATTCAATTATTTTCTTTGCAGAGTTTCAAATATTTTTAATACAATTTTAAATAAATTCTTTGAAAGATACAATTATACTTAAAAATTTTATTAAAACTTGAGGAAAGAATTCAATTTTATAAAAATTCAATTGTTCAATAAAATAATAAAATTCGTTGCAATAATTCAAATATTTTCATAAATAACATTTAATTCGTCGTAGAAAATCGATTATTTTCAACAATTTTTTAATAATTCTGCAAAAGAATTTAATATGCTTGATAAACAACGAAATTTCTTTCCTTAAAATCAATTATTTCTAAGGAATTTTAATAAAAATTTTTTTTAAAATTCAATTATTTTAATACATATAAAAATTCATCACAAGAATTCAATTCTTTTAAAAAGTAATAAAATACTTTGCAAAAATTAAATTATTTACAACATTTTTTAAAAATTCTCGACAAGAATTAAATTATCTTTATAAATAATAAAATTCTTCTTCGAAATTCAATTATTTTCAATAATTTTAATAATATTCTTAACAAAATTTCAAGTATTTAAACAAAATTTAATAAAATTCTTCGCATGAATTAAATTGTTTTAAAAAAGTATTATTTAAATTCTTCTCAGGAATTCAATTATTCTTAAAAATTTTATTAAAACTTGAGGAAAGAATTCAATTTTACGAAACATTCAATTGTTCAATAAAATAATAAAATTCGTTGCAATTTCAAATATTTTCATAAATAACATTTAATTCGTCGCAGAAAATCGATTATTTTCAAAAATTTTTAAGTAATTCTGCAAAAGAATTTTATAAACTTGATAAACAACAAAATTACTTTCCTTAAAATCAATTATTTCTAAGGAATTTGAATAAAATTCTTCTCTAAAATTCAATTATTTTGATAAATATCAAAATTCATCACAAGAATTCAATTCTTTTGAAAATTAATGAAATACTTTGCAAAAATTCAATTATTTTCAAAAAATTTTTTTTAAATCCTCGTCAATAATTAAATTATTTTTATAAATAATAAAATTCTTTTTCGAAATTCAATTATTTTTAATATAATTTTAATAATATTCTTTGCAAAATTTCAATTATTTAAACAAAATTTAATAAAATTCTTCCCATGAATTTAATTGTTTTAAAAAATTATTATTTAAATTCTTCTCGGGAATTCAATTATTTTTTTAAATTTTAATAAAATTTTTCAAAAAGTTTTCAATTATTCTCAAAAATGGTTATAAAATTCTTTAATATAATAAATTTCATTAAAATTTTAGTTAAATTCCTTAAAAGAAATTAAATATTTTCTAAAGTTCGTTAATACAATTATTCGTAAAAATTAAATTTTAAGAAACATTCAATTAATAAATAAATTATTTATTTTTGTATTTAAACAATTGAATTTTCGTAGAATTCAATTATTATTTTTCCTACTTTTAACTAAAATTTCTGTAAAATTAATTTGTTTGAAAAAGTTTAATTGAATAATAATTGAAGTAATTGATTTAAAGAAGAATTTTATTTGAAAATTATAGAAAATAATAATTAAATTGAAATGATGAAAATAATTTTAAAGAAATTACAGTAACAATATTTTTATAATAATAAAATAATGAGTTTGTCACTCGATCGTCTTTAATTATTATCAAACATAAAGAAATGGAGCAGTTTGAGTCGAAGACTCGGAGTGATCCATTTTCTTTATGTTTTTATAATAATATCCTTATCAGTTGTTCAATTTGAAAAGGTTTGAATTTTAAATTTTTGAATATCTTAATTCCAATGAAAAAAAATAATGATTAAATATATTTATTTTAAATAAAACTTTTGATGTTTTCTCATAATTTTACCTAATTTGAAGAAATTTGGAAATCAAATGTAATAGAATATTTTTTTGAATATCTAATAATTTTTAGATTGAATCAGTAAATTCTTTAGGTTTTAGGGGAAAAGACAAAATTCTGTCTTGGAAATCGGGGAAAAAAAGTTAAATTTTTGTAGCAACCCTGGAAATTACAAATTATTTTTTATTTGATACAGTTTGGGACTGGGGATTAAATATTTTTAATGTATAGTGATAAAAGTGTTGTAAAAAATTTAAAAAATGCAATGCACTCTATTATATCTTTAATTAGAAATAAATTCGATTGTATAAATTACAAATAATTTTTTTTATTCAGTATGAGACTACAGATTAAATTAAATGTTTGCTAAATTTTCTGATTCTCGATTTCTTGCATCTGCTCCACAGTCTGCAATTATACTAATTGTAATAGCAGCACTATTATTTTTCCAAAAACGTTTAGGAGAAAAAAAGTACCACGTAGCTGATAATGAAGAAATGAAGAATGAAGAATGAAGAAAAAGAATGTAGATAAATAAGAACAGGGGTTTCTATCGGCCTCCAGCAGCGAGAAGGGTTGTAGGCCGGCGGAAACTACTTGCTCTTGTTGTCGATTAATCGTCAAGCACACAAGAGGAGCCAAACAACTTATTACTTTTACTAACATAAAACATTAGAAATTGCACTTCCTTCACATGTTCAATGAATATAATAACTTACGAGTGAAAATGCCTTTGGGGTTGCTTTTCGAAACGGAGATTTAACCTTGTTAAAAGCATATTTTGATAATTAGAGTAATAGCAAGGTAGATTACAGCTATTTACTATCGACGTTATTCTAGCGTATACACTAAGTTTATAGTTCACTGAAACATGAGGGTATAAATACATCGACGATATTTTCAGTCAATTGAGAAGCCAACAAAGCTCATAAATCCACTTACAGTGATTGTTCAACGTTTAGCATTCATTTAAGAGCTATTTTACTCCATAATTTCGCTTTAAAATAATAGAAAACAATTTCATTTTTAAAATAAACACTTATAAAGCTTTCGATTACTTTTTGTATAATCTAACTAAACTTAAGTATTTACAATTTTTCAACCACGAATCAATCGAGAAATAACTCAGGTGGAAAAGTTAACGTTAGCTAATGCTACTAACGTTAGACTAACATTAACTAACGTTAGACTAACGTTAGACTAACGTTAGACTAACATTAACTAACGTTAGACTAACATTAACTAACGTTAGACTAACGTTAGACTAACGTTAGACTAACATTAACTAACGTTAGACTAACATTAACTAACGTTAGACTAACGTTAGACTAACATTAACTAACGTTAGACTAACGTTAGACTAATGTTAACTAACGTTATAATCTGATATTAGTAATCAAAAAATGTCGTTAGACTAACGTTATAGCCTAACGTTAGTTAACATTAGTCTAACGTTAGTAGCATAAGTAAAGTTAACTTTTCCACCTGCGGGAATAAAATACAGATTCCTAAAGCTACATTGAATTATGATTTACCATTAAATGAGCATCAGTTTCATCCATGATTAGAGTTTGGAATTTGAAAGGCCATTGATTATTATGAACTATGTTCCATACTTGTGGTAATTGAGAAAGCTTATACATATACTGTGTGTATAAACCACGCCTACACTAATTATGTAATTGCTCTGAAAATTAACACAAGTAATTACCAGATTCACACCTATATATAGATAATTGAATTTTAGAAAAACTATTTTCCCAATAGATAAATACAGATGCTCCATTATGTTTGCAGTTTCTTTTTTTTTTAGTATTTCTTCTTCCGTCATATATATATATATATATTCATAATAGGTAGCAAAAAAAAAGAGAGAAAGAGAACGACTCAAGAAAAAAAAAATCGATTCAAATGAAACAACCGCCTTGGGACACACAGCAGAGTACACACATTATTTAGATAGAGAAATGCAGGGATGTATCTCTTAGCATTTTTTTTCCCCACTATATTTCAAGTACTAAAGTACAAAAAGAATCTAATTTCAGATTTACAAAGATTTTTTTAAACTTAAAAATTTGTAATTTTTTTTTAACTTATTTATAAGTATAACAGATGACATTTCACAAATATTTAGAAACTACATATATATTTTCTAAAAAGAAATTTAAAAGTAATTATATCTCTCTCTCTTTCTTTTTTTTTGAAATAAAATTCATGGTTTGAAATTGGAATGATCAAATAATCGTTAATATCGGCAGAAAGAAGAATTTTACGATGTCTGGCCTCAGCACCAGTGAAAATAGATCGAATTCTTCGAATCGCTTCTAATGGATAACAATCGAATAATGGTTACTAAATTTACAAACTCAAAAGTTTTACATTCCTAAAGATTTAAATTTTTTCATTCATCATGAAATTGTATTTTAGTAATATTAGATTTAGATAAATTGTTAATTAAAAAATAGTTTTTTTTTAAAATAATTATCCAAATGCCGTTCAAAAATTTATTTTAATCTGGTATAATACTTATCATAATTGGAAATCTTTCTCTCTCTGAATTTTTGTTTTCTAATTTTCAATTTATACAAATAATTGCATTTAATTGAACACTGTCCAGAGAGTTGAATATAGAATGTGAATTATATAAATTTTTCAAATCTATTATTTCTTCCACAAAAGGTGTCATATCAATTTGAATTGACATTTAATCAATTAAAATAACATACTACTATTTATGTGAATATTGACTGGGATTATAATTATGAATGTTTTATCATGTGGACATTATATTGACTTTTGTTGGAATTGACGAGTAATTATGTGCAGTGTGTAACACCTAAAACGACAATATAGTTCAGAAGTTATGAGCACGTTTTGCAAACATCAGATGCTGCATTTTGGAGTTGATTACAAATACATTGTATTGTTTTGTATTTAACATGTGGGAAGCACATCGGATATAATAATAATACCTTCGAAACATTTATTCTCAAAAATTTAAACTATTAAACTAATTTAAACTATTTAACTAATTTAGTGTGTCAAACATATTCTTTTAGTATGAATTTCGACTACCTATAAAGTGAAAGTTTTTCATGTGAAAAATTTGTCATAATGTTCTTAGAAATATCATGACTTGACATATATATGACGAAATAATCAATTTAGTATAGTTTTTTTGTTGGTTTGGATATATCCCTCAAAGTTACAATCTCGAAAGGGAATAAATAGACGTCATTTCGATTAATTCGACCTACATGTTTATCTTGAATTAAAAAAAATATATATACTCTACAGGAAATGTTGGATTGGGGCGTCTATTTTGTGGACAAACAGGGGGAAATGTATATATCATCATCTACCAATATGCTTCAATAAATCAAATTGAATTGTGTCATTTGTATATCGTGAAAAAAATTTCAAACTATAATTCTCTTCAACCAAAATTTTTTCATTAAGAAAAATAAAATTTTCTAGGGTAAAAATAATTATATATACGGGGACATATTAGTTTTAGAAGATATTGATTTATTGATAACTATTATCGTTAGTTACTATACAGTTTGAATTCTAATATCTTCCCTTACTGATGGATTACATTAAAATTTTTTTAATTTCTGACATTTTTTTCTTTATGTGAACAAAATAGGATAAATAAACGCACATAAAAAGTTTTATTTTGTTTTATTTGCAGCTTTCGCCGGAGCGCAAGGAAAAAGAGACTTTGCGTGATAGCAGTAAGGAGGGCGAGACCCTCGAAAACGTGCCTTTTCCCTCGCCTGGTGCGAGGGTCAGTATAGAGAGTGAGGTGGAGACAACAACGGGTTGGAGCTCCACAAGTAGTAGCGGTTCCTTGAAAAAGCCAGGAAACTCGGAAAACGAGAATCGCAAGAGGCCCGGAAACGTCAAGAATACAAGTTCTGTTCTTGACAAAATTGCCCTCTTTCATCAGCATCATCATGCACGTGGTAGAGACGCCATCACGTGTTCCCTTCATCGTACATTAAGTATACATACAACTGCCCTGGAACAAACTTACATGTCTGAGGAGTGTGATGAGAATGATTATCATCTTGACCTTGATTCATATAAGCCGGTTCAACCCCTTCATATTGACCATGGGGTCACTCTTTTTCCAGTAGCTGCAAAACACGTGGGAACTGATCTTCATCTTTTACAGGTATTACTTGTTTTTAATTTTAGTCTATTCATTCTTTAATTCACGCACAAAACATTTTTTTAAAAAAACAGGAAGAATTCTAACTGTAGATTCCTGCACCAACATTTACCGACACTTTTAGCTCAGACTCAAACCAGGGAATCGGGGTCAAAAATGACTAGCTAGTCACATTACCGACATTTCATTAAAGTGTCGGTAAATGTCGATGCAGGAATCTTTAATTATTTAGCTAAATAAATGTCGGTAATTGTCGGTGCAGAAATCTTTAATTATTTAGTTGATTTTGCAGAGAAATAGTTGGAGGTGAGGAGATGTTTTTGTAAAGAGTATACATTTTCCTTAAACATGAAAAAATTTATAACTAAATCGGTAAATTGTCGCCCGAGCATTAATCCGGGCTGAAAAAGTAATTAAACTCGAGACGGATGCGACAGTCGGTAATAAAACCCTAAAGTAAAAATGTGCAAAACATCTGTTGAGTTAAATAAAATAGAAAGTTTTAGAAAAAGAAAATAATAAATTTCTTCGAACAATTTAATCCTAAAAACCTAAATAAGTAAACGGTTAAAACAACTCAACAGTGGGTTTGAATCTCGGCTAAATAAGTGTCGGTAATTGTCGGTGCAGGAATCTTTAATTCAGTTAATTTCTAAGAGAAATAAATCTATATCCCTACGTAAAATTTGACATCGTTCCACATTTTCCCAGCTTGTAAGTGTGAATCTGTAAATGTCGGTGCAGGAATCTTTAATTATTTAGTTAATTTTTCAGAGAAATAAAAATAATCGTCGATTAAAAATTTGTCCCACAAGTTGTCCCTAATCACTGAATTCTAAATTTTCTTCTAAATTCATCGCAGTGAAATTATTTAATTGCATTTCTTTGCATACAATAAACTGTAAATTTTTATTTCAAAATTAATTTCTTTCACGAATTATTTTTAAATCACGTTTATCTTTACTTTTTTCATCGTCGTAAATAAGAGAAAAAAAAGACTATAAGTTGTATGAAATATATAATATACAAAAGTAGAGTGTGAGGACCTTAACCCTCAAGCACGTGAGTGTTTCGATCGATTCCCTACTTGACACTTTTCTTTCTCGGTTGCCAGATATATATATACTGAAGGCTGATAGGTACAAGGATGCGTACAGCTTCTTAACTCTTATCCACTTCTTCTTTTCCCACAACGACTTCCCTCTTTTCACCGTAAAATATCACGCGTCTATTTTATGGGAAAAGCCACCATAATCCAGTTACGCATTTAGAAGCTTAAACTTTTTTTTTTCTTCCTTTCTTCTTAGTAGAGCAAGTATTTTGTCTTATTTCTGAATTTTAATTTAATGTGAAAGAATAAAATAGAAATTGTCGCAAAAATGATTTAAAATTTATATTTCAAAATTCAAATTATATATAAGATTTATTATTTTAAGTGTAAATTCTGATTTGAAGATATCAATTTAATTGAAAATGATAGAAATGTTTTTCGCAACTCGTCTTACTGATTGCAAAATTTTATGCTAGTGATTTCTAGTGAAATAGAATTTTCTTTCAATTTACTGAAACTGTTGTCTTATCAGCACCTATATGTATAGTTAATTTTCGAAATTAAATTTTTCTTAAAAGTAATTTAAGAATTTTGAAAAATTAAGTGAATTCCATGGGCATAATATTGAAAATTATGATTGAAATTACAAACCATTTTTTGTAAAAATAAAGAACTTTAGTTTTGTTTTAAAATCAAAATGTCTAGAAGAAAATCTCATTTTTTTGAACCTTTTCTAATTTTAAATTTTAACTAATAATAAATACGATAAAAAAAAAACAGTTTGTACAAAGATCGGACATTAATGAAGACCATAAAGTGTCGAAATAATAAAGTGTGCACAACCGCAAATTACATGAAAACCTAGTTTACAAACAGGAAAAGAAGTTTAATGAGTCTAAACTCGTGAAAGTAAGTTTAACCAGATCTCTAACTTATGCGCATTATTTACCAAAATATAAAATTTATTAATACATTAATAGGCATTGATTAATAAATCTTAGTGATGTAATTAAAATTTCTCAAAATATTAGTTATAGACTTATATGAATCATCAATTATTTTCCTCACTTATAAATTTAAATAATTAATATGATTTCTGATCAAAAAATTGCTTTTTCAACTTTTCAAACTTTTTCAACTTTTCCAACTTTTCATAATAATATTTTCTAAATTTTCACTCACAATTGTTCTATAAATGATTTTCCAAAAGTTTATTTATAAATAGAAAATTGTCGCTCATAGTTCTTAACTTCTTTAAACTTTTTTCTAACTTGAGGGGAGAATATTTTTAAAATCCCATGGGAATAACTATGAGGGTGTAAAAAAGTTGTCAAGTAAATTCAAACTGTAAAGTTTCAAGCTCCATAAGTCATGGTGCACAAGGGAAATCTAAATCTTCTGTATCTCAGTTTTCTTGTCAATTTAACGTTATTCCGTTATTTGTGTATAAAAATTATCCACTTTATGGAAAATAATTTTTTTTTTTTTCTAATGATGAAAGTGCGATCATTTTATCAATTTTGTTATTCTCCGAGAATTTAAAAAAATAGACTTTTATTAAGCTGTAGAAATGAAATTATAAAACGTATTGCCTTTAAGAAATATTAAAAATAAAGAAGGCCATTTTATACGTTTTTATAAACATAAAATATTTTATGATTCTAATAAAAAAAAACTTATAACCATAAAGTGAATTTTAGTTCTGGAATTATGAAATATAGGATTCAAAATATCTTTTATTTTTTGATATTCTTTTTTTAACAAAAGGGAAATTGCGAATGTAATCATCATTATTTTTGAAATGTTTAGATAAACAGAGAAATTTATTTTTTATTTCATAGTGTTTAGAATTATTTTTTTTTTTTAAAGAAAATATTGAGAATCATAAGTTTACATATAAGTCAAGTTAAAATAAAATAATTGACCTGATTTTAAACATCTTTTATCTGTGCTTAAGAATATCCAGTGACTTCTCAACTCCGAGAAAAAGCTCATTTAGTTTGACTTTCCTCTTGGGTGGACTGAATAAGTAAAAATCGTGTAGCTAAGGCTATCTTGTGACTGAATAATTCAGCTATTTATTCAATTTATCAAAAGGGAGTTGAATTAAAAAAAAAAATTATTCATAAACTTAAAATAAAATTTATAATTTTGTAATCCGTAATAGTCTTTCAATTTTTGTGCTAAAAAGTTTTTTTTACAAACACTTTTAAAATAAAAGGGCTATTGTTCGATTTTTTTGGAGGATTATAAATGAGCTGATTCATCTGAAAGAGAAATTAAGTTTTATCCTAAAAAGATTTCCATCATCTTTGTTAACATATAAAATAAAAAATTAGATTTTTCACTGTGATATAGACTTGCACAGTATTTTAGATTTAGAATTAATTGCGCAAGCCCGAAAAAAGAGATTGCACAATTATATTCATAAAACTTTATAATCTCACGCTGTCAAAAAGTATTATGTCTGCCATTCTCATTTTAAACGATTTAACAACTTTCATAACAAACTTTTCTTTTTGTGGAGACTAAAATTTTCTTCGTCAAAATTGCTCTCTTGAGTATTTGCGTGAAAAGTTTAAGTTGCGGTTCGCAGGAATATTCGGGTACTGCCGAATCGATAGTAGCCTCCCGTTACATTTTTGCTACCTTGGGAATTGAAAGAAAATGTATCGAGGAGAAAATGAGTTTTCTTGCTACAATTGTTTTAGTATAGCTTTCCTTGATATCATTTGTTTTCAATCTTTCGGCACTTAACAATGTTTTGCTTCTCCAATTGTAATTCATTTGAGAAAACTAATTAAAATTGTAATTCTAATACCTGTATTGTTTATTAATATTTTCTTTAATGCGAATTTTAAAAAATCATCCCCCTTCCCCCTAAAGTTAGCAAAAAAATTGAAGCTGAGGCAAAAATCTTATATTTCATAGTTTTTAATTCAATTCTTAAATTACTTGTCATATTCTCTTACAGTTCTCAATTTTGTCACAAGAAACACTGGGAATTCAATATGAAACATAAAAGCATATCGAATTTACCTCATTGTAAGAATAGTCGAGAATAATGTTCACAAGTAGTACAAATATTTATTAAACTTAAGCAGAGTTGCTACAAAAATTTAACTTTTTTTCCCCCGATTTCCAGAGAGAATTTTTTCTTTTCCCCTAAAACCTAAAGAATTTACTGATTCAATCTAAAAATTATTAGATATTCAAAAAAATATTCTATTACATTTTATTTCCAAATTTCTTCAAATTAAGTAAAATTATGAGAAAACATCAAAAGTTTTATTTATAATAAATATATTTAATCATTATTTTTTTTTCATTGGAATTAAGATATTCAAAAATTTAAAATTCAAACCTTTTCAAATTGAACAACTGATAAGGATATTATTATAAAAAACATAAAGAAATGGATCACTCCGAGTCTTCGACTCAAACTGCTCCATTTCTTTATGTTTTATAATAATTAAAGACGATCGAGTGACAAACTCATTATTTTATTATTATAAAAATATTGTTACTGTAATTTCTTTAAAATTATTTTCATCATTTCAATTTAATTATTATTTTCTATAATTTTCAAATAAAATTCTTCTTTAAATCAATTACTTCAATTATTCTTCAATTAAACTTTTTCAAAAAAATTTAATTTTACAGAAATTTTAGTTAAAAGTAGGAAAAATAATAACTGAATTCTACGAAAATTCAATTGTTTAAATACAAAAATAAATAATTTATTTATTAATTGAATTATTCTTGAAATTTAATATTTACGAAAAATTGTATTAACAACTTTTGAAAATATTTCATTTGTTTTGAGGAATTTAATTGAAATTTTAATGAAATTTATTATATTAAAGAATTTTATAACAATTTTTGAAAATAATTGAAAACTTTTTGAAGAATTTTATAAAAATTTTAAAAAATAATTTAATTCCTGAGAAGAATTAAAATAATAATTTTTCAAAACAAGTTTTTTATTAAATTTTGTTTAAATAATTGGAATTTTGTCAAGAATATTAATAAAATTATTGAAAATAATTGAATTTCGAAGAAGAATTTTATTATTTATAAAGATAATTTAATTCTTGTCGAGAATTTTTTAAAAATGTTGTAAATAATTTAATTTTTGCATAGTATTTTATTACTTTTCAAAAAAATTGAATTCTTGTGATGAATTTTGACATTTATTAAAATAATTGAATTTTGAAAATAAATTTTATTAAAATTCCTAAGAATAATTCATTTTAAGGGAAGAATTTTGTTGTTTATCAAAGCTAATTAAATTCTTTTGTAGAATTACTTAAAAATTTTTGAAAATAATTGATTTTTCTTAATAATTAAATCCTTTTATAGATTTTGATGAAAATTTATAAAAGAAAAATTTTTGAAAGTAATTGATTTTTCTTAATAATTAAATCCTTTTATAGATTTTGATGAAAATTTATAAAAGAAAAATTTTTGAAAGTAATTAAAATTTTGCAAAGAATTTTTATTTAATTTTTAAGAATAATTGAATTTTTTGAGAAAAATTTTGCTATTTGTAAATATAATTGAATTCTTGACTAGATATTTGTTAAAAATTTTTAAAATAATTGAATTCCTGACAAGAATTTAAATAATAATTTTTTAAAGCAATTAAATTTATGCGAAGAATTTTATTAAATTTTGTGTAAATAATTGAAATTTTGCAAAGAATATTATTAAAATTCTATTGAAAATAATTGAATTTCGAAGAAGAATTTTATTATCTATAAAGATAATTAAATTTTTGACGAGAATTTTAAAAAAATTTTGTAAATAATTTAATTTTTGCAAAGTATTTCATTACTTTGCAAAAAAATTGAATTCTTGTGATGAATTTTGACATTTATTAAAATAATTGAATTTTGGAAAAAAATTTTATTAAAATTCCTTAGAAATAATTGATTTTAAGGAAAGAAATTTTGTTGTTTATCAAGATAATTAAATTCTTTTGAAGAATTTCATTTAAAAATTTTTAAAATAATTGATTTTCTGCGACGAATTAAATGTTATTTATGAAAATATTTGAATTATTGCAACGAATTTTATTATTTTATTGAACAATTGAATGTTTCTTAAAATTGAATTATTTCCTTAAGTTTTAATAAAATTTTTAAGAATAATTGCACCTTTTAAGAAATTTATTTAAAATTGTATTAAAAATATTTGAAATTCTGCGATGATTCAATTAAAAATAATTGAATTCGTAAATGAAATTTTATTATTTATGAAAATAATTGAATGTCTTCGTAGAATTGTATCATAAATTATTTTTTTCAATAATTAAATATTTTGATAAATTTTATGAAAATATTATTGAAAATTATTAAATTGCGAAAAACTTTTGAAAATAATTGAAATTTTGCAAATAATTTGATTTAAATTTTTGAGAAGAATTGAATTTTTTAGGGTAAAATTTTGCTATTTGTAAAGATAATTGAATTCTTGACGAGAGATTCTTTAAAATTTTTTTAAATAATTGAATTTCTTCGTAGAATTTTATTACTTTTGAAAATAATTGAATTCTTGTGATGAATATTGTTATTTATGAAAATAATTGAATTTTGCAAAGAATTTTATTTAAATTTCCTAAAAATAATTGAATGTCTGTGAAGAAATTTGTTATTTATCAAGATAATTGCGTAAAAACTTTTGTACCTAATAATTAAATAATATTATAAAATTCATTCTTGTCAGAAATAGAAAAACTTTTTGTAGGTTTTTTTATTAGAATTAGTGATAGTTTCATAGTTTATGAGGCAAACAAAGAAGACACCAAAAATTCAGAATTTTCTCATAAATTCTAAAAATTTAATTTTTTCCAGCACTTTTAGTAAAAATTCCTTACTTTTCCCTGACTAATTCTACTTTTCCTGACTCCCCTGATTTCCCTGACCTGTGGCAACACTGTTAAGGCGATGTCAAAGTCAATGCGATTTTCCCATTGAAGCTCAATGTAAAAATCCAATCGACTTTGACACCCCCTTGAGGTATGTTGCGATTTTTTTAAAATATTATTTTCCTAGGTGAAAAGAAATTTGTAATTTATACAATCGAATCTATTTGAATCTATTTGGTATTCGAATAATAGTTTCGTCTTTCTGGTGTTCGGGAATAATTTTGCAGAATTTTCTGTTGATTATATGCAGCAGGAAACATTTCCCCTAAAGACTTTAGTGATGACCCAAGTGACTGCACTTTACACTTGTTTCCGAGCACTTTGGTGATCTCTGGAATGAAAGCCACCTTGTTAGAACCACCTCCGATTTTAATCAGGTCTCCTCCCTTCCTTGAAGACCTTTCCCTCCCGACTCTGGTTTGGTTAACGTTTAGATTAACTTCCTCGCAAAGTTTGATTAGCATACGTCGTTTCTTTGGGGACACTGATCACCATTGTAGATCGATTCCTTGTCTTTTGCACCTTTTTTGCAGTTTCTTTCCGCCATTTCTTTTTTCGTAATCAAATTCTGTTGATTAATATTCGATTGGGTAAATTACATAGTTATTATCGTATCAAGGGCGCAAAATAGGTGATTGGGACGATGGCGAGATGAAGGGACCGAGGGGACATTTTCGCGCCCGAGGCGAAGCCGAGGGTGCGAAAGTGTCCCCGAGGTCCCGAAATCTCGCCGAAGTCGTAATCACCTTTGCGCCCATGTTGCGAACATAATTTTTTGTCCTAACTGCATGAAAAGTATGGCATTGAGGGCACGAGCGAAGCGGGCGCAAAAGTACAGCAAGCGGGCGTAAAAGTACTTTTGCGCCCGCTCGGGCTAGATGAAGCGGGCGCAAAAGTACTTTTGCGCCCGCTTGTGTGACGTCAGCGGGCGTAAAAGAACTTTTGCGCCTGCTTCCCCGACCCCGGGCGAGAATCAGTTACTTTGCGCCCACTTTAAGTGCCCGAAATGACATACTTTTCGTGCAGGTAGGACAAAAAAAATATTTTATATCTAAATTGAAGAAGAAAAATTGTCTGTACTGGAAAATAAATTTAAATTAGGTTCTAATATTTAGAAAATGGTAATAAAATTCTGTTGATTAATATTCGATTGGGTAAATTACAAAACCATTTTATATCCAAATTGAAAAATTTAATTTTCTATCCTGAAGTGTGTTTAACTCACCTGAAGTATTCACCAAACTTGATAGTGAGTTACATTCTGTACCTAATATAATTGTTGAAGACAAGACCACCGAACGAAATAAAAAAGACCAGAAACAAAACAAAACTGAACCACAGGGACCAAGAAGGTCAATTTCATTAAAAAAGTTTCTATTGTGAAAACAAGTGGCTCTTTCCCTCGGAGTGAGTTTAAATTTTATTTTCGTAATTTTTGCCAACAGACGTTACACCATGGAACGACCCTTGTGCACTGGGACTGTGATAGCGGAGCATCGCGAACAGCATTGGTCTATGCTCGTGTTGATCGTGCGTGTGGCACTTTCGTTTGGGAAAAGCCATCTTGGAGTTCGTTAAAAACATCAACGACATTGGGAACGGGAGCACAGGATTTTTGTCTGACAATCAATGTTGAGGAAACAATAACACCAGGATTGGTGAATAGATATTCGGCGCAGCAAACGGATTGTGCATTCGTTACACTTGAGGAGGGTTATCTTGACCTGGCCTGTGTAAAGGAGGTCATGATTGGATGCTGCGATCGAGATCGAGATCAGGAATTGAGAGGCATTTGCAAAAGATACGGCCTTCCTGGATCTGATTCTTGCATTGGTTTGATGTACGGGTCAAGTCTATCGGATAATCGGCTTATCTTTCTCCTCTGCCCGCCAGCGCTCAGCAAGTAAGTACATATTTGCAGAAAGCGGGAAATTGAATTTTTTTTTTTACAACTCATTCATTGTTTGAAATTTTTTTTTCACTTTTTCCCAAATCATTTATTTCTTCTAAAAAGATTTCTACTTTAAATTAAAATATTTAATATTTTACATAAAACTGCTTAGGAAAAGTGGTAATTAATTACTAGCATCAGTTAGAATTTAAAATTAATTTTTACAAGAGCTTTTTAATTTTTGTTTTCACTCTTAAAAGAAGACATTTTATTTCGTAAATAATCTCTATTGTATTTTATTTCAAAAATTAAATTTTTCGCTGGATTCATTTCGACCTTGTTCTATTTTATTTCAATGGCCTACATATTTTGATTGTCTCCCTCTTTCACACTGATATTTTCTTTCGTTCAAATTTCATTTTATCTAATATAGTTTTATGTTGACACACTTTTTTTCATATCTTCTTTGTTCTTTCACATATATCAAAGAATTTCACAAAATTAACGTGAATAATTAGGAAGATTCTTAGCTTTTAAGAGTTAAGCGAACTACTATTTGATTTTCAAATTAAAAATTTATTTTTTAAAACCATATACTAAGTTTCATTTGCAGAATTTTTAATTTTTTTACCAAATACATTATACTCCAGTAGTTTCACAATTTCTGATAAAAATAAAAAAAAAGTTGATCTCTTGAATTTACTCTTTTGTATTGAATGCCCTACATATGCAACAGTATAAGTAATGCGTAATCAATAAGGAAAATATAAACGAATTTAAGACGTTTTGCTTTAATTAAAAATTCACTTTTTAACTTCGAGAAATATTTCGTTGTTACTGGTTTTGCATTAATTAAGTAAAACTAATATCTCGAGAAAATAGAAAATAATGCAAATTTGTCTAGAAGACTTTTTTAATGAAAATAAAAAAAATTATTCTCCCTCACGAAGGATTTTCAAAAGAATATTACTTTTAAAAGATATCATGTCTCTTTGGTTTTTTTATTAAAAATTCTTTTTGATTTAAATAACTTCAGGAAAAAATTTATAAGTCCTTAGAAAAGTCTAACCTACATTTTTTATTCTAAATAAATTTTGATTATTTAAATTATTATTCTTAATTCTAAATAAAATTACTAGATCATAATTCGATTGTATAAATTACAAAAATCTTTTTAAATCTAAATAAACTAGTAAAGATGTTTATAGCCCTAATCTTTTCTCCGGATTGCCATTCAATTCTGTAAAAATTTCCAGTTAATTTAAGATCCATAAGTAAATCTAATTACTAGATTATAATTCGATTGTATAAATTACAAAAATCTTTTTAAATCTAAATAAACTTTAGTAAAGATGTTTATTAGTCCTCATCTTCCGTCCAGACTGACATTCGATAAAAATTTACAGTAAATTAAAGATCCAAATATCACAACTTACCATTTTGGACGTTCGATCCTAAATGACATTCAATTGTTCAAGATAATTAAAAATCTTAATTCTCTGAAAACTTATAAAGATTATGTCAATAATTGCTATTTGATGAATGATTTTTAAAAAAATGTTTACAAACCTTTTTTTTCAAACAGTATTTTGAAAAGATGTGTTAATTGTAGGTCACAATAAATTGATGGTTACCACACAATTATTGTTGTCCAATACAAACCATGCGAAATCGATTAAGGTGAGCAATTAAATGTGAAATGGCGAGAGCTACAGTAATTACACTGCAACAGTTGATTACGCATTTGCCAATGTGAATGAAATTCTGACACTGCATATATACTAGTATTGTTAAAATGTTGCTGAATTTCTGATATTCCTCAATATCATTCACGTTATACTTTATATCCTATATATCATCATGCAAGATTCAATTTTGGATTATTGAACTTACTATATGAGGAAAAATGTAGGCCACAAGTATTACGGTCGTGCGCTAAAAAGTATAGAATAAAAGAGGAACATCATGTGTATAGAGTGCTATGGAATAATGTATAAAATGTATGTTAAAAATTGTTTTTTTCAAAGTACCTACCAAGTGGGAAATTATTTTTATAAAAGGCACTTAGGCACTTTAACATTTGATGATGTAAAAAAAACAAACTTTAAAAAGTGGAAATGTAGTAAACTCCATTTATTGTAATAAACTGTTTGGAGAGCGCGATATCTAAGAAAATTCTTGTCATTTGTCTCAATTAAAATGAACATAATTCATGTAAAGCTTTTCAGCAATGAATAATTTACATTTAATGCTTTGACAAAACAATACAAGGCTTATGATTTGCATTCATTAGTAAAATTAGTTATAACAAAATAGGAATTTAAGCACTAGTCTTAAAAATTGATTAATAAATGTCTATATAAATTGTGTATTTTGTTCTCAGAACATGGTACATGGGTTTGTGTTGGATTCTACGGGGCTTAAAGAGACAACAACAATTAACAGATCGAAGATCACGTTGGCTTAAGGAGAAGTACCTTCAACTTTACTTTGAAGAGGGTTGCTCGGAACCAATGACAGCTGATGCAATTCGCATTTTTGGTGGTCGCGACTGGTCTGTGACTGAGAGTATAGGAAGTTTATCGCCAACCAGCAGTAGTACACTTAAAAGGCGTAATGAAAAAAGAAAGAAGACAAAGTCTATCGGAAACATCCATGCACTGTCGAAGGTAATTATCACTAGGGGGTTAGGGACAATTAACAATTTAAATAATTTTTTACAGTGGGTTTAAGTATCGATGACGTGACAAGGAAAGTTTGTTAAAAAAACAATTGTATTAGCTCAGAATTTCACCTGTAAACACCTTTGGGTTACTATCTCCTAATTTTCGGAACGTATTTGTCACCGTTCTTTCAGTTTAGTTTCGTCTGCTTCCTACTGGACAATTCTAACTGTCGTCTGAACGGAAAAGAGCTGCAAATTATTGCTCGTGGAAGTACGTGGCTGCTCGTATCGCTAGTCGCTACAGACGTGACACTAGTGACACGTACACAAGTTAACACGAACTTTTAGTCCGTGCTCACTAGCTACCATATGAACTGGACAAGAATATAGTTACAAAAAACAAAAGAATCCAAAATCTTATATATAACCGATCAAACACTTTTTTCTAGATTAGCCATTTTATTGTCGCTATATGAATACAGAAAGGAAACTTTCCAGTTTTACGATATCGATAATTCCAGAGTACACTTTCAGAAACTTTCCCTTATAATATCCACATAAACTTGGTAATTTTTTTTGCCTTGTTCTTCAATTTTAAAGTTCTAGGGAATCTTTTTTCTTTCGAATGCTTCTAATATATCATCCGTTACTTTTTAAATTGGATAAACTTTCTGGAAATCACTATATTTGCTTCAGTACTCTAATTTCTTGATCTTTTTCATTTTTAATTAATTTCTATTTTCTAACGATGTTTTCGCATCGGGATTTTGATATCAGAAGAAAATCAATGATCTACAAGGTGTACAAAGAGAATTTATTGTCAAATATTAAGAATTAGAAAAGTTAAGAGTATTCTATCTAGAGTTTTTTTTTATCTAATATTGGGTACATTGTGGATATTTGTTTTTGGTGCACAAGAAATTATTTTGACGAAATTAAAAAAAATTAATGATTTATTACAATAGGGCAGAAGGGGTGTTATTAGTTTCGTTAGCATACGCAACTGACATGAAGGAAATATACGAAAGTTCAGGAAAAGTACGCTGCATATAAATGGAAATAGGGAGCGACTTAAAGATATATAGTAGAGTACTGGTAATATTAAAGTGGCTGTACCATTAGGAAAATATATCACGGTTTGACAGTCGAAAGTCTTTGGCTATGAAAAATTCAACAATAGAATCAGAAGTTCGTCTGAAAATGAAAGAGTACTAGATGAGTTGGGTTTAGAGAAATAAATTCTAATTGATCTGGGTACAGGTCACTGGGGAATCGAAGGAAATGAGAGAGCTGATGACTTGGTCCGCACGGAGTCCGGGGTAGAAATAATTAACCCTCAATCGTCGGGGTCAAATCTGGTTAAAGGGGCATTTAAAAAATAGAGCACATGGATCATGAAAAACAGATGGCGATCTTTAGAATTCTTTACATGACAGGAAAGTATGTAAAACAATTTCACCTGAAAACACTTTAGGTTACAATCTCCTACTTTTCGGAACGTATTTATATAATTACCATCAGTAGAAACCCCTACGTCAGCATCTGAAGCACATTAAGCTACTAAATGCTCAACAACACTGAAAATTCATCTAATTCCACAACACCTAAAAAATTGCCTTCGTTCTCTTAATAACGAACTGGGTATTTTTGTATTTTCATCGATAATCATCAGCATCCAATGTGATTATGATAAATTTAATGAAAATAACATTATCCTTGATATTTCTTACTTTTAAATACTATTTTAAATTAAAAAAAAAACCGAAAGATGAAATAAATAATCTCGACGTTCACTGCAGATGAATAAGATTTTAAACGACTTGAAGAAGTATTTAACAAGATTTTTCTCCTTTTCTTTTTAGGATCTGAGCTTTAGGCATTATGATTCCTCAGCTGATGGAGGATTATCCATGGCCCCATTGCATTATATAACAGGAAGCAGAGAATCTTTAACTAAAGTTGTACCAGCTTCACCACGAACTGGCAGAGATAGAATTCCATCACGAAGTCCCCCTGGATCCGCCGAGCGTATTGTCACCTCAAATTTGCCTTATTCCAGTTTACAGAGGTAATTTCCACACATACAAACACATAATCAATTATTGCAGCCAGTCGAATGGATAATAGCTCACCCATTAATTGCATTATCAAAATCTTATTCAATTCCCTCAATAAGCACCACCAATCGAAATGGTGATTGATCTTTCTGATATAACAGTACGCTTGATGTGATGTGTAAACAATATGCTTGCTAATATCTTTGCCTGGCATTAATAGATGATTATTATTAATTGACGATCATTATCAATTGATTTTAATTATCAATTCTATTTTTATATTTGATTGCTTCAAAAAAATATTAATGTTGCTTTATTAATGATTGATTTCCAAAATGTTTTATTCACAAGCTCTGTAGTTGTTAACACTTGTTTCGTCTATTGAGCGATCTTTTTTTTTGAAGCACAAAGCAATTCATTTCTTTTAAATCGATAGTTTTTTACGTGATAAATTAATTTTTTTTAATTAACAATACAATTTCAAGTATTTTTGTCATTATTTCGAGATTTATGGTTTTATTAAAAGGAATTTGCTTCAGACTGACAACCCTATAATTTCTCGCTTGTCTGGTATTCGTGTTGATAGCTCATGCGAATATTATGCTAGCTGCCAGTTTAACATTTCAAGGGTCGCATAACTTTCTGTTAAAGGCAGATAATGTTCAGTAGCTGGAAGCAAGCAGAATCCTAATCATATTTCCAATTTTCTATTCAAAAATATTTCTCGTAAATTATTGGAGTTTCTATTAACAATTAGTAATTAGTTCCCTTCTTTTGGAGAATGATACATTAAAAAAAAAAAAGATTATTGAGAATTTAAAAATTGCAAAATTTAAAATAGAAAATTAATTTTTAACATATTAGGAATGAATTTGCTGAAATGACTTTATCACCGCTTGCCTATTTCCTCCCATTAATTCGAAAGCAGCCTTTTATGTCTCATTAGGGATAAAGATAAGAACGGTTCCAGTGGATTAGGTGGTGGAAGTTCAGAATCACCATGGCAGGTGAAGGCAAAAGCCACATCCATCATGTATGAAACACAATTGAACTTTGTCGAATTCGTTGCTCTGTTTCGTTCATTCAGTTTACGTGCAAGAAAAGATCTTCGCGATCTTTTTGGTCAATTGGCAATCACATGTCGAAGTCAGAGCGACGGTTCAATAAGGGACGTCAATAACATTCGTTCTTCCGTTCTACGTCAGACGAGTGACGCAACACCACAACGAATCGGTAATTAATTTTTCACCACTCACCCTTTCTCAAATTAAATTCAATTTCATACACAAACACCTAAATTCAAAATTACTATTTCCATTAAATAGAAAACTTTTTTTTTTTACTACTACAAAAGAAATAATTCACAAAATTTTCTACGTGCTTCTAATTTTATATGACAAAACATAAAGATTAATAATAAACAGCGCATGCTCTTTATTTATTCTTTAGAGCATTATATTATGATATTATATTTGCATTATAAGGTGACAACTCAAGCACGTTTCTGGAATAAGTAATTGCGTCTCAGAAAAATCAATTCTCTCGTGTTTTCATTCGAATATTTTTTTTTGTTTCGTTAGCTAGCTATATGAAAAGAGAAAAAAATAACTGAATCTTTTCGAAATTATTAATAGATACCTACTAAATTTGTAATAATTATCGATCAATTATTTTTAATTGTCATTCATTATCATTCATTATCATGCATTATCATATTTCATTTTATTCATTGTAATACATATCATAATTGCAAAATTTTAATTAGCTGAAATTCATTTTATGACATTCGGTAGATTAATTGCAAAATTTAATTCCGTTCAATGAATTTAAATTAATGACAATGGAAACTCATTATTTAGGTCTATTAACGAGGAACAACTCCATTGACTGCCATGAGTACAAATCACACAGTAATCTACACAAAAAACAGATACTTGACGCTGTTGCAGCCGCTAGTATTGTTAATAATTGTTCCGGAGTCGATACATCTAAATCACAAGTGATAACATTAGCGACATTCACGAAATTTTTAGAATCTAGACAACAAGAGAAACTCACTGATGAGGATATTAAAAATCTCATCAAGGTAAGGGAGTCTTTATCATTTTGTTGGATAATTAGAGAATAAAAAATTACTTTACTGCATTATTATATGTTTGAGTGTCATTCTAATAGAGTCGAAATTATCTCATCAGCTGTTGGAAAATTCATAATGACGAATTTAAAGTGTTGAGATAATTACGAACTTAATTCAGTGAATGTTTGCTCTAAATTCACTTAATATGATAATAATTTAATTTTCATAATTGATTTTTGTTTTGAAGAATAACGATCTCAATTATTTAACTTTTTAAAAGATTTAGGAGTTGTAATTAATCATTGTTTTGCTGGAGACATTCCTTGGATTTTGAGAAGTTAATAAATTGTGTTCTCATTCTAGAGGCATGAACCAGATCCGGTCCTCCGCACACAATGGTGTTTGTCTTTTGAAGGTTTCGCACGGTACATGATGGACAAAGACAATTACGCCTTTCCCAACGAGTATGCGACGCCATCAGAAACTGAAATGCAACAACCACTTTCTCAGTATTATATAGCGAGTTCGCACAACACTTATTTAACAGGGCATCAACTTAAGGGCGAATCTTCCGTACAATTATATTCACAGGTAGGATCAGAATTTTTTTTATCAATTCTATTTTGTCAAGTAATTATTTATTTGGTAATTATGATCTTCGGTAATTATTGTCCTCAATATGGCAATTGTTATACAGTGGCAAATTTTACCCTTTCGTGGTTGAAGAGACCCAGAGGGAAGCAAATATGTAAACATTTGTCGAAGTTATGCACAGGGGAAGTTAGCAACAGTTCTGGCGACTGGGTGAACCTTCTGGCGTCTTCTTAATGATCTTAGACATTTGAAAGGCTAATGGGGTCTTTTCACAATTTCGCAACAATCTTTTTCAACGTATCTGAAATGGAAATCAATTTCCACTTGTTCCGTGGCAACAGGGCTGATTTTATTATCATCCTTTTACATGGAGCATCAAAAATAAGTTGAGATTTTCGACTACTAAAATTTTTTATATTAGAAAGTTTGGATTTATTAAGCAACTTATTACTTGGTGTAAATGTAGATGAGAGTCGAACAATAATCTACCATCTAATCATAAGAATGTTTATTAGAAGCTGATGACGGCATTTACAGTTCTTAAAATTTTATTGTAACCAGGATTCTACTATTTCTTTTCTGCAATACTTTTAAGATGAATTAAGATTAGAAATGAAACTTAGGTTGTTAATTAAAAGACTCACAAATATTAACGTCTAACGTTAATCTAATATTTATTTATGATAACGATTATTAGAAGCTGATGATGGCATATACAATTCTTAAAATCTTATTGTAACCAGGATTCTACTATTTCTCTTCTGCAATACTTTTATGATGCGTAAAGACAAAAACCTCAGGTAGTTAATTGAAGTAAAAGATTATCACAAATATTGACGTCTAACGTTAGTCTAATATTTAATTAAGAGAACGGTTATTAGAAGCTGCTGACAGCATTCATAGTTCATAAAACTTAATTGTAATCAGGAGTCTACTATTTATTATTTGCTTCGCTCTGACGATAAAGCGTCGACAATAATAAGTATCCTAATCTCCTCTCCCCCAATTTAGGAATAAGATTTCAGATTATGGTATATAAAGTTTTTGACCCGAGAAAGAAGTAATTATTTCCGTATAGGAGATTTTTAGAAATCCTTAGAATACTTCGGATCAAACCAAATTAGGGGTTAGCTAATCTTGCATCTATCATGCTAAATAAAATTCGTTTCTTTGAATTACAACTAATTTTCAATATTCCAAATGAATTTTGGTATTAAAAAATTGTTATCAAATATCTGCCGTTCTAAAAAATTCGATTGGGTAAATTACAAGTCATTTTTAAATCAAAATGAATTGACTAGTAGAAGATTTGATCGTACATCATCCATTCTGAACACATGAAGACAAACTAAATATTAGGTGGACACTGTTTGAATTTACGACAATGTCGGTAAATGCCGGTAGAAGATTCCTGTAATTATCATTACAGTAGTTTTCAATTTCAATAATGCGCACCTTTTGGGGAATTATTATTTTGTTTAATAAGAAGACGCAAAATTGTCTAAGGCATCAAATGGATAGAAGAGAAAAGTACAATTGATAAAAATCGACGGAAAATTCCGTTGTTTTTTTTATTTTTTTTTTAAAAAAGACACGTTTTAACCGAACTAGAACGCAAGCTCCATTTTAACTGAAGAAAAATCTGAGTCCGATGATCATTTATAATTGAGACGTCGATTATAAATAGAAAAAAAAAATTTTTTTTGCGAAGGCAACGCAGAAATGCGAAAAATTTCTTTCCAAAGATTAAAATGGTTCACATATCTAAAAGCAATTACTATTTGTAGGTTCTTCAGACTGGATGTCGGTGCGTGGAATTGGACTGCTGGGATGGAGACGACGGTTCTCCACTCATTTATCATGGTCATACCTTCACTACAAAAATTCCTTTTCGCTCAGTAGTGGAAGCGATAGATAGGAGTGCCTTTGTTAGCTCACCCTACCCTGTAATTCTCTCCATTGAAAATCACTGCTCTCAAAGCCAGCAAGCTCGGATGGCTCAAGTATTTCAAGTATGTGTAAATAATTTTATTGATTTATCTTTTTTCTCTCCATCTTTCTTTCTTATATATATATATATATATACATATTCGACTGCCCTTTCTTTAATGCTAATTTCACAATTTCCATTCATAAAAAAAACTATATTAACCTTATTAATTTTTTCTTCAGCATATTCTAAATTTGAAATTTAATTATTACTTTTTCTTTCATATAGTAATAAATTTAGTTAATAGAAAATCGTTTTTATTTTTTTCCCCATCCATTGTATTTTATCTCTAAGAGTAATAAATTGTTAAAGTTCTCTTTTAAAGTACTTTTAAAAGATTTTTTTCTTTTTTTTTTCTTGTTGAAAGAAAGAAAATCGCATTCGTTTCGAGTAGTTTTCATGCCAGAAATTGTAATAAAAGTTTCTTTTGTGAAATTTGTCAAATTTACGTTCAACGTAGGTATACAATCGGAAATTTTTAAATTGCATTCGATTTCTCACATAAAAAGATTAAGGGTTATAATATTTACTAAATTCAGCTCGAAATAGTAATTTACGATTTGGAAACAAAAAAAAATTGTTTTTAACTTTCAGGCACTTTCAGGATAAATTTTTCTAAATTATTATTTGTTTGGTAAATTTTTTTTTTCTCAAAGTTTGGCATGGTGATAAAATTATATTTTACGACCTTTTATTTTTATACTATTTGTGAATGGCGGAAGGAAAAGAGAGAGAGAGAGAGAGAGAAAAAAATCTACATAAAACAGATACGTGACACTAAATTTTATTTTCCTTTGAAAATTATGTATTTGGAAAATTTGATTTCTTTTTTCCAACACATCTAAAAGTTAAATAAAATAATATTTAAATGAAATTTTTTTTATTCAAAACGATATTTTTTATTATCATACCTATGTAATACTTTTTTATGCAATACTTAAAACGAAATTTAAATCATTTTTTCTCCCTAGTAATGGGAAAATAAATTTTTGTCACGATTTTTGTGGAAATTTCCAGAAAAACAGGTTTTTTTTGGTAGAAAAAAATATTTTACTCTTGAGAATATGTTTTGGAATAGTTCCAGAAAAAAATTGAACCAGATGTAAAGTATTTCCTGGTACGTGAGAAAAATTTTTAACTACTGCTTTTAAAAAAATTCAAATAAAAATTTTATCTAGCAAAAATGTACCGTGTTGTGATATATTTGAAAATAGAATATGATTTTGACATTTAAGTTCAAGTTTAATTTTTTTACCACGTGGGTAGTTTATTAATATTTTAAAACATATTTTCAAATTTGTTTTTAAATTTAGAGGTTAGGGACAGTCAACGGCGTGAAAAGTAAAAAAAAATCGACATTTAAATTAAAAACGAAATTTTTTGCGTAGATTAAATTGATAGAAGTCATATGACGTCTAACAATGATTTAACATCTAATTATTCGATTGTATAAATTACAAAAGCCTTTTTTTAAATGAACTTGAAAATCAAAAGACTCCTTTTCCGAGCTTCTATTCTGAATGAAAGATGGCTGCTGACTGTCAAAAATATATTGACGTCAATACTCTAAAATTTAATTATGAGAAGAGCTTTAATTTTATAATTTGTTGGTTTTTTTACCGAATGTTTCATTTTAGAAATTTTTGACCTAAATAATATCAGAATCGAATCTTTACGACTGACACATAGCCTTGATGTTTATTGTAGGTTAAACTAGCTTAGAGCATGAATTGTGCACATTCGTGACACATTTAGGCATTATATTTGGCTGTTAACCACTTTAGGGTTCTCATATTATTCGGTTATATAGATTTCAGGATGTATAAACTGACACAAGTAAATATTAAATAACAATAAAATTCAAAATTATTTTCCTCTCTGTAATTGTTTTTTTTTATTAAATTATAGCTTGTTCTAAATTTATATAATGTTGAAATTTTACTTCTTCATTCAGATTTTATTAAAATTTGAATATTTCAATTTTGTTCTCGACAGTATATTTTAGTATTTATTTAACAACACTCAATTAAAATTTAATTCTACTTTTTATTTTTATGTTCCTTGTTTGTATAATTTTGATGGAAATGAAATTTTTTTTTTTTAATGAAAATAACATATTTTTGTTTATATTTCATTTTACAAATATTGTATCCCCATGTTTGCAAAGTAAATTATTTAAATTTTGTAATTTTTCGTGATGGAAAATTGAAATTGCTTAATGTTTGATTAATAACTTTTTTTATTAATATAAGTGAGGAATTTGTTTTTGATGATGAAATTTTTTTTTGCAGCAAGTATTCGGGGAAAAGCTAGTAAATAAATTTCTATACGAATCGGATTTTGGAGAGGATCCACAATTACCATCACCCTCGCAGCTTCGTTATCGTATTCTTATAAAGAATAAAAAAATGGTCGTCGACCCTTCAGGATCATTAGTTCATGCACCATTAGGTCACAGAGGCAAAATGCTCATGTCTGATCGTGCCTCATCTATGAAGCAAATGAAAACCGACATGAGCAGCACTTCAGTAACAGTCGAATATTATAGTGAAGACGAAGATGACGAGGAGGAGGATGAAGAAGATGATAATGTTGATGGTATGCTAAAATTTTCATTCCACCTCTTGTTTAACTTAAAAAAAAAATTTTTTTCTTTTTTATCTGAGGAAACATCTTGAAAAATTAATAAAACAAAATCTTTCTTAAAAATGAATAACTGTAAGAAAAAAACTAGAAGAAAAAGGGTGAATAGTAAAGAGATTGAATTAAATATGACAGGAAAAGAGGAATAAACGAAATATGCGGAAAATAAGAGATAAAATTGAAGGGAATAGTCTGGTAAAAATAAGATACAGTGAATAAAAAAGTTTACTAAATGAAAAAAAATTAATATCAAACAAGAAAAATATTTTGTTTATTAAATTTTTACTGTAAAATTCCATTATGTTACTAATTAGAAGTTTTAATTACGTTATAAATAGGTAAATATATACTCCTCTCATTTAATGAAGAAAACTTTATAATTAAAATATTTGCTCCTTTGAAGCGTTGACCTTTCAGAAAATAAAGTCAATTAGACACTTACAGTTTAATGTTAAATATTTAAATAGTTTAATTTAAATCTCCATTAGTCTTTTGACAATTATTTTCGTTTACAACTTTATGAATCTAATTGCATTTTGAAAATTCTATTTCAATTCATTTTTTTTTATTATTGACATATTGGAAACATTTTTTCACCCACTATCAATTTGGAATTATTTTCATTTCATTTCATATTATATGTACTTATGAAACTTTTTATAAGTTGACACTTTTTCAAACGTATAAATCGTTAAAGTTTTTCGAAGAGACTAAAAGCCATTAACTTTACTTTCAAAAAGTAAATTTGTCGAAGCTTGAAAAAAAAATTCTACTTAAAGTTTTCTCTTGATTTGTTGGCAAACCTCTTACAGAAATCTACCACTTTTTGCCAATAATCTTTTTTATAACTTGTTTCAACAATTTTTTCTTGGCGTTAGACACTTTTTGTTTAAGTAAACAGAATTTATTTAAATTAGTCTTTATGTACTTAAAGACAAAAAATAATTTCTAAATATTTATAATATGATTTATTATTTATATTTTGCAAAAAATTTGTTTCTTCTAAATGGGAGTTTTTTCACTTAATAAAAATGACCTCTTTAAGGTGGAAATGAGGTCGTAACAATATACTTCTACTAATTGTACTAAAAGTAATTTTCCACCTCAGCCAAATGGGACGTTTTTTGCATAAGTTGTCTTATCTTTTCATTTCGTAAGAAAAATATACTGTTATGATCATATTTAGTCCATTTTGTATTTTTAAACTCCAACAGCAGACTTGGATTCATTCATTACAAAAAATTAAAATTTTAAAACCCCGAAAACCTCATAGTTATGATCTTCAAGCGAATGTGGTCATTTTTCTAAAAATTGTCCGCCATATTGAATCCGCCATTTTGAATTTCGAATATCCGGCTTCAGACTCGTAATCCAATGGCTAATGTTCCTTTCTGTTTGATTTTTCGAAGATAACTCCATCTCCAGCTATGAGAAGTACTTGGGAGGACAATTGCCTCATGGGAGAATAAAATCAGACCTAGCTGAGGACAAATCCCAAAGGCAAAGTAGTCAAATAGCAAAGGAACTCTCGGATCTAGTGGTTTATTTGCAGGCAATAAAATTTCGTGGCCTGAACACAACGGCTGGCTCTGGTTCAATGGGTAAAATTCGTCATCCAGCTCATACGGGACCCGTTCAAAGACACAGTATCGCTGGAATTGGAACCGCCGGCGTTGCACCATCATCTGGCTCACCACAATCACTATCAACCTCGGCCTCAATAGCCAGCGGTGGAAGTAATATTGACAATATTTTCCGCATAACAAGAGGCATTCCAGCATGCTTTCAAACCTCATCATTAAATGAGAGTGCTGCAAAGAAAATTTGTCGTAAACAACCATTGGGTGTTGTTGCACACGCCGAAACACAACTTATTCGCACCTATCCAGCCGGTATGCGAATTGATTCATCAAATTTCAATCCAGTTATATTTTGGGCATTTGGAATTCAAATGGTTGCATTAAATTATCAAACCGATGATGCCGCATTACATTTGAATGCTGCAATGTATGAGCAAAATGGACAATGTGGTTATGTGAGGAAACCATCGGTGATGTGGGATAAAGAACATATGATGTACAGGTAAATATATATATATTCTCTTTATTTTGGGGTAAAAAAATAGTTTTTTTTAGAATTCGATGATAGGAGAATAACGAGCTTGTCACTCGAGATAAGAAGCCTGGACGTGGAGAACAAAAGATCCGGAACAATGAGATTTTCTAGAAGAGATAAGAACTCAATGAACTTGAGCTGTTTCAATAAGAGAATAAAGTGTGCTCTTGATAAAGGCGAAAGTTCGTCGAGAGGAAGCGATGAAATCAGTTTTTTTTTTGAAAAAAGAAAGAAAAATCTAACAAGAAATCAATGAAAGTAATTTCCTTGTCAATAAACCAGTCACTTTTACTTTCGGTACTTAATTACATTCGTCAAAAGATTTTCCAAGTGTATTCAATTAATATTTATTTATTAATAATACCCTGGGCTTATATGTCCGAGACTTCGTTAATCGTCAGAGGAAATTTTGCCTGAACAACTTGGCAAGTAGAAATGCTACTTTTAATCTCACCTTGACTGGTGGGTTACTCGACAACTCTGGCTTCTGACTTATCCTATTAATTAACGATCGCGGTTCGGGCACAATTCCGACAGATAGCGTGATAAATCACAGCATTACAAATTAAATCTTTTCGTTAAAGTTGACCTTATGGTGAAATATTTATTATTATGCTTTGTTTTTATAACCACTAAGGTTTAGGATTATGAGGTAGAGAACTAATTGCTTAGTAATTTCTCCAGCACCTTCGCTAGAGTCTGAGTACCCTATACCGTATTCTGGCGACTAATTAAAAAAGGAACCCCGCAAGAAGAAAAGTCTTCTTTGGAGAAGTTCCATTACGCCCGATTGTTAATGAGTGATACCAAACGGTGGTATCAAAATCAAAATGGATTTTTATTACACTAAAGCGTCAAACGAGTCTAGGTCAATCAAAGATAGAACCTGATGGTAAACTGTTAAAAAGGTAGTGGACAGTGTTATTATGGAGATAAAAGATCTCTCGCTTATCACTACTTGCCTCATCAGTAAGGTTAGAATTCGTTCCATAATCTATCGTGACTGACGCGACCAAAACGTGCACTTTGAGGATTTAAATCTGCTCTTCGTTAAGGCAGAAATCATCTCCGTACCTTAGCTTCAGGTGTAAGAGTAGCACTCACAGACTGCAGATCAGAAAGATTGTGAGAAGGTATTCACTTAGTGCAGGGGCTCCTACAACCAGGTGTACTATTCTTGCTTCAACGATATCGTTCACTAAAGAGCCTCTTGAGTGAATGTATCGAGGCATAGGGAGTGAGTTCGTAGCTATCCTTCCCGCGAACTCTTTGAAGCATGTCAAACCACGATCTGAGGAGTTCTTCTTCTTCTTCCTAAATGACTTGAGGCCCAGCAGGTATAAAACGTTCGCTCTGTCGCGGCATGAAGAGAGCGAGTGGTGGGGGGAGCATGTTTCCTGCGCGTTCGCTACCTTCTCATTGCCACCTGGTACCTGAGTTTGAACGCCCACTCTTGATGTCGTCGATTCGAAAGATGCTCACCAACTGCGGTGCCGCGCCGTGTTTAGCCGGCGAAAGAAAATAGTTAATCAGCTGGTTACAGCGTATCGTGAGAGGCGACTAAGTGGTATTTTGTGGCCCTCCCTAATTCACCCCCACTTCTGATGAGGTATTATCGAGACCAATACGACTGCAACTAACTGCTTCTCCATTTCATTAGGCACCAGTCTTCTTGCATTCTGGACACTGTCCATCTTTCCTCTAGACTCGCCTGAGAAAGCAATTCTCTCGCCATAGTCGATTAAAGGAATTCAATGCTATCTGAAACGTTTTTCCTATCCTGACGTATCCTAGCAGATGTTTCGGAATAAGTGGGAATAAGCATGCCATAGGGGTATAGTTCTACTGGACCCAGGTACCCGCATAGAATCAAAAAGATTATAAGGTCACGCTCATAGGTCATTCTTTTTGATCCTATGCGGGTACCTGGGTAATAATTAAGTAGTCTAATACTCTAACTACAAACACTTTAATAAACCTTATTTGTTTCAGACGTTTCAATCCCTGGGACAAGGAATTCGATGGACTGCACTCGGTACATTTGACCCTCTCGATTATATCCGGTCAATACGTTTCTCCAGCGAATCTTGTAACTAGTACCTATGTAGAAATCGAATTAGTTGGCATTCAAATAGACTGCGCAAAACACAAGACCAAAGTTATTCAAACAAATGCGCTTAATCCAATTTGGAACGAGAAATTTTGTTTTCAAGTAATGTTCCGTGATCTCGCATTCTTAAGATTTGGAATTGTCGAAGCGAGTTCACATCATTTAATTGCCCAACGTGTTTTGCCACTCAAGTGTCTTCGACCCGGTTATAGACACGTGAGACTTCGTTCAATGAAAAATAAACCCCTAGCTCTATCGACACTTTTTATTTACTCCCGAATGGAAGAGGAGAGTTTGGATTACAATACATGTTGTCGGGATCATAAGGAATCGTCAAAGCGTCCTTTATCGGGTAAGGAACCAGAAAAATTGAATACAATTGATCCGGGGCTTAGTGGTGTTACACTGAAACGAAGAATGTTTTTCCTGATGGTGTATCACGTTGTTCCTGAAGAACCTTACACTATTCTTAAGGTCACCCAGGAGAGTTCAACGCAGGAGGTTATGTTGCAAGCTTTGCAGAAGGCGGGAATATCGGCTGAGCATGTAGATGAGTATATTCTCGTTGAGGAGGTGTCTAGAGGTTGGGAGAAGAGGGAAAGGGAGGAGTTACCAACACAGAGGGTTTTGGATCCTAATGAACATCCGTTGCAAGCTCAGGCTTTGTGGAAGGGTCAGGGTCGTTTTCTTTTGAAGAGAGTTGGGAATGATCCAAGCAGTAGGGCGTGGCTGGCTTCAATTAGGAGTACGGCAGGTCATTTGAAACTGACCGACGATATGACGAGGGATAAATCATCGACGCATATTTGGGATGAGGAAGACACATTTTTGGTTTGTGTTTACAACGTATCGCCTGAGATTCCCTATGCTATTTTACGGGTACCAGTGAGCAGTTCGGCGCAAGATGTTTTGGCGCAGGCTTTGGTGAAGGCTAGAAGAATGGAGGATCCAACGAGATTTGCGCTGGTGGAGGAACTCGAGTGGGGCGGTGCTGGAGCAGTGGGAAGCGGTAATCGACAATTACGATTGTTGAGGGACGACGAGAACGTGTACACCACGCAGGCCTTTTGGAAGACATTGGGAAGATTTGTTCTACGCGAAAGAGAGCAGGCCATTCCGAGGAGACATCTTTTGCCAGCAACCCTGGACAGACTGAGCAAGGGCTTCTCCGTTGGGAGATCGGTCTCATTACCTGGCTCCAGTAAGGAGAAAGTCCCTGTCGCCGAAGCATTGTCCGATCCGACCTCTCGAGGTTTAAGACATCGACTATTGTTGTCAGGTCGAAGGAGAGAGGTGCATTCTGATGGAGAGGATGCGAGAGAGTCCGACCTTTTGAACGCAGCCCTCAACTTGAAGAAGGTCTCGCTGAGGAAGTTTCGTATGTGGAAGTCATAGTGGCAGTCGCGGGCGACGTCACTCTCTTCGGTCTTCGCCCCTCGGAAAAGCAATTAGGTATTAGGGCGCATTACTTACCCCATTAGTTGGTATTAGGACTGCAAGGCAGAATAAAAAAAATTAGATAAACCAATTAGTTGTAAAAGGAATTAATTACATTAGTATTTATCGTTAAAACATTTTAAAACGATATCAGCATGTCGAGGTTCAGTTTGAAGTCTGGAAATAATAATTTATTCGGTCGCACTCGGAATATAACCTGTGCAGTATTTATTTTAAGTTTCTAATTGGACTTTTGACCAGGCTGATGAATAGTCGAATTAGATATTTAGATATCACTAGGAATTATGTACTTTTTTCGGAAATTACAATATCCGGAATTTTTTTTTTCCTGAATAGGTTTCATTTCATCCTTTTATAACCATAGGCACAAAATATTTTCTTCTATGAAAAGAAAAACATTTCATTCCTCTCCGGCTGGTGAGAAATATGTCTCAGCGCCGTTAGGTATCGTTGACTTGTACTACTTGAAATTACCGACGCGCAAACTGAGAAAGTAGTTCGAATCAACACCACCGAGAGGCACTCGATGGAGTATAAAAACCGCAAGTTCAGAGTCATACGAGTCAGTGAGCATCTGCTCCTCACCCTGATAATAACCTCAATTTTCAAGATTTAATTTTTCATTTCTCAATTAAAATTCTACAATATTTGGAATATACAGAAAATATTATGTGCTTTAATACCTACATCATCCAATCATTTTTATCTAATAAAAAAAAACATTTGTAAATAATTTCATCACAAAAATGTTAATATTAAAATTTGTCTCACATTATGTTTCCATGATTTAATTTATTTTGAGAACATAAGAAAAAATTTGCTAAATAACTCGATTAGTTTCGAGATTTAAAATATTAAAAGCAAAACTTCTAAAGCAATTTAAAAAAATATATATGTAATTTATTATTTTCTAAGGATATCAAAAAATTTTGTATTTCAACTTTTTATCTGTAAAATATGAAAATAGTCCATTATTATTAATATTTAGAAAAAATAGTCTAATTGTTATAGTAAATTATTAAATTTTTGTAAATTTGATGTTTAGTTTAAAAGACAAAATTCTTTACGTTAAACAAATAATTAATTAACAATAATTTTATTATTTAATTGTGAAAAATGAATAAATAATATGAATAATAGAAACGAAAAATTTTAGTTGCTTCTAATGAAAAATTGTTTTTATAATCACAATCGTATTTTGTAATTACAAAACATGTTTCTTTTTTTACATTTTCAAATATTAATTTGTTTATTGAACTTTCAAATAGAAGAATTTACAAATCTGGAAATATCTTAAATTTTCTTAGGAGTTTGAAAAAAAATATTCTCACATTCTCTCGAATCTATGAAATGATGAAAATATTTAACAGTTGAAACTTGCAAAATACGATTGTACTACTAAATCATAAACAATTTTAAATTAATGAAAATTCTTAAGAATGTACATTAATTTTTTATTTTTATAAAATTATAATAATTAAGCTCTTCCTAAACAATGAGTTTAGAAATTATAAATATTTTTCTATCACCTAGAAATTGTGTAATATTTTAATTTCGATTATTTGTTATACAAAATTTTGTTTTATTTCTTTGATCTAGTTTTTTTTAAGTAGAAACATTCCAGAAAATAAATTTTAAATTTGATTTTTAATATTTTGAAAGGCAACTTTTTGGTAAAAATAATAAAAAGAGATTTAAATAATTAAATATGATAATTATAAATATAGTTGAACTTTCAAAAAAAAATTTAGAGGAATAATTAAAATTTAATGTATAAGGAAGTATCATAGCTATAGTCCAAAAATTCACTTTTTCAAATTCATCAACATTTTTTTTTTAAATATTTTTTTTTCTTTGTCGTACATATCTATGAAACGTATCGCAAGAAGAAAATTATTGACCAAATTAAAAATAAATTTTCCATTCAATGGAGGCTGTGGTTTTTTACAGGCTTCAGACTGAATCGTCCACTCTGGAGAATGGATTTGAAATAAAGAGTAAATAGAAATAATAATTTAAAAAAAAAGTTGACTCTCAGATCACGAGAAAAAGATTTTGTTCATACAATCTTCATTGATTCACAATATATTATTTTTCAAAATAAATCGCACCTTAAATTTGACAAATCACAAAATTTTAGAATTTGCGCCCAAAAAAAATTTGATAATTATGAAAAATAAACAAAATATTAAATTTATAAATTTCGTGATTTGTCAATTTAGTTGCTAACACATTATAGAAAATAATTTCAGTAGAATATGAGACATCTGTTTAAAATATGTTTTCTAAATTGTTTTCTCAAATGTTTCAGAACCGAAAAAGACTCTTGTGTAAATAAATATAAAAAAAATAATAGTTTATTAAAAGAATAAAAAAAATTTTGTTGTAGCAAAAAAGAATATTGCCGTGGATAATGTTTAATAATAAGATTTATTCTCGAGAAAAATAATAAAGTCTTCGTTCCAAGACGAAACAGGACCAAGGAAGCGACTCTTCTGATATCTTCAAGTTTCACTTTAAAAATAAGTAATGTAATGTTAAGAGGAATTATAATTAGATCTAGGATAATGCCACGGTGAAGAATTTTAATTTTTAAAAAAATTACTAATTTATTTCCTCCTAATCTGCGAGTCAAAAATAATAATATTCTCTTTAAGTCTTTCTCTAGTCATGATAAAAACAGAAGATCTTAAGCACTCTGTTTTTAAAAATAAATTTTAATTTAAAGGGTACAAATTTAAAAATATTTTACTTCGAAAACTTGTCGTTTCACATATATTTTTTTTTTAATTTTCTCTTTTTCCTTTAAATTAACTCATAATTTTTTGTAATTGCGCTATTCCAGAATCGTCTAACGGTCTACATATTATATCAAATACAGATTTCTTATCGACAATTTTAAAATGAAAACAAAAAACACATCTAACGCATATTTATATGTATGACTTATTCATAAATATGAAAAAATATATATTTGTATATAGAAGTACGTTAAAAATTCGCCTGTGCCAAGCTCGAAACTATCATCAACGCTATAATACCATTCATAATTATAAAATAAAAAATAATTTTATTCCGAAAGGAAAGAATGTAATATTTCTTCATTCTCAACGCCTATACTGTAAACTACGCATTACATGACAAAAAAAAATTAAATACAATATTAATTAAAAAGTTGGCCAATAAAAAAATGTTAAATGTTATCTTTACGTTAAAAATTGTAAACCTTGGCATATGGAAAAATAAAACGTAGAAAATTTTATCAATTTACAGTAGAAATTAAAAGAAAAAAAAAATTTCAAACAATTTATTGTAAATTCTATACATTAGCACGCAAATTTAGTGTGAAAATAAAAATCTTTCACATGAAGTTATTTAAAAAAAAGCCAATAAAAAAAATTGATCACCTCTTGAATTTTAAAGCGATTCGACTATATATGTTAAATAAAAAGTCGGCCGAGAAAGACCCGCGTCTGTTCGAATTTCAAAATTTTGTATTTTTCCAATATATAAATTTACGCAAAAATTTTTGCGTCGCTTGTATGAGCAAAAAAAAAAATATATATATAAATAATAACGTTCTCATCTTCGAATGTACCAAACGTATAGGGTGATCGAATAAGACAACTATTAAAAATATTGTTTTCTGTTTCTTCAATTTTTTTATTTTTAATACCAAATTTCTTTATAATTGTATGAAGATGATTGTTTTTTTTGTTTTATATTTTTAAATTATGAGAGATTTGAAAAATTGAAGATTTTAAAACAATAATCACACTTTATGGAAATTATAATAAAAGAGGAAAACTTTTAGAAGAGAGACAGATATACTGCATGCTGTGATTCAACGAGTGAAATGAATTTTATTCAGTTAACATAATCATCAAATAAAGGGTGCTATTCAATAGTATGAGTTTTATTCTGAAATTTTCTGTTTTAAATTTTAAAAACCCTTCCTGATTTAGAATTTAATTTTGTTTTTATTTAAATTTCCCGCGCGACATGAACATGCACGAGTTGTGAGCTGCAGCGCTTTTTCGTTCAGATGGCGTTAGCATTCGAATGGGACATACAGCAGTTTGACGTTGAGAATGGTGCTAACCTCATTCTGTAAAGTGGAAACATTAGTAAAAAAAAAGGGTTTTTTAAGGTGAATTTCTGAGCTATTATAAAAAGTTTATGACTTTTTATTACTTTTTTTAAGTTCTCCTATGCCTTTACTGATTTTTTATTCTTTCATTTAGTTTTAAATAATTTTTATAAAGTTGTTACAATTTACTATTAACTTGTTATTACAATTCTGTTATTATTTGTTACAATTTACTATTAACTTGTTATTACAATTCTGTTATTATTTGTTACAATTTATTATTAACTTGCTATTACAATTCTTTTATTATTAACTTGTTATTACAATTTATTATTTATAATTGCTTGTTTGCAGTTAATAATATGTAAATAAAAATTATTTGTTGTTAACTTTATTATTACTAAATTTATTATTATTATTAAACATAAATAATATTTTGGGAGATAGCACGTAAAATGTTGGACGAAGTCTTTAAGTAGGTAAAGTGGGGAGAGAGAAATGGGTGGGACTGAGATTATCTACAAATGATTCTGCACTTCACCACAGAAGCTTCAGTATATTATATTTTCTTATCATTGTGGTTGGACAATAAAATTTAAGTTAGATAAGTGTTCAACACTTTAGGCGCATAGAAACATTCGCTCAGTGTTGATATTTAAAACTGAAACATGACGGTAATTACTAATATTTATATTTTGTCAGAAATATTAAAACATTGAAAACAATTTCTACATGTGCTATTTAATTAACTATAAAACAATGTTTTACTTAAATTTCTCATCTTAATAACACAGGAATACTAAAATAATAATTTCTCAAAATTATCGTCATACTTTTCCATTAGAAAGTCGAATTCATGTTCAGAGGTCTTATTGCTCCTGTGTTTACACCATTCAATCAAGACAAGTAATTATATTTTTCTAAAAAAATTTAAGAATTGAAAAAGTACTTTTTATTGTTAATTAAAATTTTTTTTTTCGTTCTCATCATGTTTATTTAACATTCTCCTTTTTAGTTTGCAATCGTTAAATTTAAAAATCATTCCACAATATGCAAAATACCTGTCGGATAAAGGAGTCAATGGAGTGCTAGGTTTGTAATTCAAATAAAATTTCCAAATACTATTGAAATCGATAAAATTTAAAAATTTCAATTTTAGATTTGAATATTCTTTTTTACGAAAACTTATTTTAAATAGTTGGTGGAACATCCGGAGAGGGAACATCTTTATCGCTAATTGAAAGAAAACAAATTTCTGAAGAGTGGGCAAAAGCAGTAAAAATAACAGGGCAACATCTAATGATCCAAATTGGTGGTGCTCCACTTCCTGATGTTCTCGAACTTGTAGGTTGAATTTTAAAATTTTTTTTTAAATTTAATTTACATTAATATGTAGTTAAAAATTTCTATGTCCGAAATTGAAATATTTTGAAAAGAGTAATTTTTTAAGGCTAGACATGCTGAAAGTTTGAATGTGGATTCACTTCTCTGTTTACCGGAACTTTATTTTAAACCTTCTGATGCTGAGGATTTATCGAATTACTTGAAAATCGTTTCAAGCGCAGCTCCTAAGACACCTTTGCTATATTATCACATACCGATGTTCACTAATGTCAACAGTGGGTATAGTTAATTTTAAGAAAAAGAATTTCCATTACAAGAAGTAGCTTTAAAAATAATTTTACAGTAAAAATATAGTAATTTTTAAATAAAATCAGAAACTTCGAATCTATTCAAATTTGAATTTTTTTTTTTTTTTTGCAGTACATATGGGAAATTTTTTGCAATCTATTGGTGACAAGGTGCCAACATTTTGTGGCATTAAATTTACAAGTAGTAATTTAGATGAATGTGCTCAGGCACAAAAAGCAGATAATGGTCGTTTCGCAGTATTTTTGGGTAATGATCAAGTAAGTTTTGTTTTCCAATAATTTGTAGTCAACGACTTTAATAGTCGATGATATTATTAAATACGAGAAAAACACATAAATTAAAATTCTTTTTTTAGCTAATATCGGCTGCTTGTTCGATGGGAATTGATTCATTTATAGTTACAACACTGAATATATTTCCAGAGCATTCTCTTGAAATTCTAGAATCTTGGAGAAATAATGATTGTAAAAATGCTAATCAGATACAAGAAGAACTCTCGACAATCGTTCAGTTGATTTCAAAACATGGTTGGTATTAAAACAAAATATGGAATTTTAAATAAATTTTTTGAGTCGCTTCTTTTTTTTTTAGGTAATTGGGTAGAAACAATGAAATTTGCAATGAATTTCGTATCTCCACTAAATTTGGAAAATGCTCGACCACCTTTAAAACAACTTTCTCCAGAAATTAAGAAGTCGATGGAGTTATTTTTACAAGATCTTGAACGGATTTAATTTTTTTTTTTTTAAACGGGAAATATAAATAGAAAGACTTTAAAATTATCAAATAAAGTATATAATTTTCTAAATAACAAATAATTTTAATAAAACATGGAAAACATACAATTATACATGAACTGTAAATTGTAAAAAGGTCAATAATTGTTCGTCATTATTAGTTAGTACGAGTGTAATAAATTCTAAAACAATATTCATTTGATTCATTTGATTCATTCTTAATATTATTAAGAATTTCATTAAGTTTGTCTCATAATTGTAAATTAGGTTTATAATAACTACGACACTTTTCATTATATGCAGAAATTGTATGATTTTTAACTATTTCCTCAACACTTAATTCTGATTGTAATAAATGTAATGTTTTCTGTTCTTTGGAAATGTTTTTTAATAACGCTATATTATCTTTGCCATCAACTTTTTGTAATATTAAATTTTTCACATTCTCTCGTGATGTGTCTAGATACTTTTTTATCGCTATTTCACGTTGCAAATGACCCGTTTGTATTTGTTGAAATAAATCTTTGCACTGATTTGTTGGATCCACTTGTCCTCTGAATGAATCCGTTGGTAAAAATGTATTTAAAAGGTATATTATTTTGTCGTCCATTTGCCGCATTTTCTTCAGTGAATCCTATTTTTAAAAAAAAGGAAGGATTTTAAATAATTTTTTTCAATTTTTTCCATTTTCTGTTTAGGATGGTACATGATGGAAGGAATTCAATCAAGATAAAGCTAATTTTAGAATTGTTTTATTTACTAGCATTCTAGATTTTGAATTAGATTCCAATCTTTTAGTATTTTAGTACTTTTTATTCAAAGTTTAGATAATAAAATTTATTTTTGTTCACCGGGTTTGGAGGTTAGAATTATTTTCGAAACCATTTTACTATTTTTACCTAAATACCAATTCTGGGTTTTTGAATTCAATTTATTTGATGTTTGGTAAAGTTCACAAATTATCATTTTTAAGGTGGGCTGTATATAAAGAAGAGTGTAAATTTTACCTGGAATTCCAAAAAATCAGTACACTCCATGTTTTTGGTTGTGGACATTGTTGGTTAGAACACGTTATTATGTTAACATAGGAGAAGATTTTTACTTTTCATTTGTTGATAAAAAAGGATCTACAGAAATTTTAATATCTTTATCAAAAGTCGATAACTCTGTGATCTGCTTATAAACAAATAATTAATATATTTAAATGATTATACTAATTAATTTACTAATTTTCTGGAAGTAATTCAGAAATTAACGTAATAGGACTAAGAAACAGTTTCCAAAATTATTAAATATTAACTGTAGTCGGTAAAATAGGAATGGTACAATAGTACAGCAGTCGACTCAGAGGTGCCATTAGGGATCTGTATCATAAGCAAGAGATATTAATCAGTAATATAATAATATTAACCAGATATTAATGTTGTAATTCCAAAAGACTAAATGCCACTTATGTGTTTTTACACATAAATTTTTCATTAGAGGAATTTCTCTAATAAATAAGTACGTAAAATTTAATTATAAAATTAGCCCATGGCTTTGATGGTTAACTTTTGAAAGTGGATAAAACGATGCCGGAAAATTTAAACAGGATCTCTTAGAGCTCTGTAACTTGATGACACTCTAAACATTAAAAGACCGCATCTCAAAAGTACATTTAAATAATTTCCTCTGATTTAACATGAAGAAATAGTATAATTAAGAATCAAAATGAAGAAAGAAGAGATTAAGCCAAACATGTTGAAACTTGCAAAACAATTTCCTACTTGTCTTACTAAGTAAACACTTTTTGAACTTCCGCACTGAATAGATATGTATATTCACAAGCAGAATTTAACGTAGACGACTCTTCAAAAGGACAAGTGCTGGGAATTCACTGCGGCTTTTGTACAAATCCCCCTTCTGTTTAGGAACTTCCATGATGTATTGTGCATTCAAGTTCTATGCAACAAATGTAATATGTGAGAAATGCGAGTAATCGAAATTGCCTTTTGATCTTATCAAAAGAATTCAAATTTACAGTAATTAATAATACCTAAAATGTCCACGAGTATGAATTATTAAATTCGTTGGTAAAATGTAATTGACTCTAAAGTTATCATTTATTACGAAAACCCGCACCAATGTATAACAATTGATTAATAATCAATAGTTGGCGTATTAACAGTTATTATAGTGGAAGGATCGGTTTTCTTTCAATTAACTTTAGTGCTCTTATTTTATAATCCATTATCAAAACTCAATAATTCTATATATAGTCATTTAAATAATCAATTTACAAATGAATTTACAATTCTTCAAACAGAATTAAGTTTTTTTCCCACTTAATTCATTATAAAATGGTTTACACAAAGTTCTGTTTATCTAAAACTATTACTTCGAACAACTATACGATAGCACAGAAGTAAAATGTCGAGTTCGAAACAAGATATTTTTTCGGTTACATTTTCAAAAATTACCACCAAAAAGTTAAAAAATATTGCCCGACAAAATGCAGAGGAAAATTTAATTCGAGACCTAAAACCCATTTTACAAGTGTCTCAAATTTTTGGCATTGCACCTTATTCAATAAATAGACGAAATTTCACGTGGTCTAGAAATAAACTAATTTATTCGGGAATATTCTTCGGTTTATGTCTTTATGTGTACATTAAAAGAATTCAAATCTTTTTATCTAAAGTTCTACCATTAAAGGTAACACTAACTTATATTTTAATAATGATTTCTTCAGCAATCTGTGTTATTATGGATACTTTTACATGTGTATTCCACGATAATAAGCATCAAGAATTTTTAAATTACATTATACAATACGATGTGTCTACAAGATATGAAAATCGGATTAAAAATAGATTTGTTAATTGGAGTTGGTGTGGATTAATAGGATTTTTTCTAATTATATTTACAACAGAAATATTTTCATGGAATTTGGAAAATAATCCTGGTTTAGCAGCGGCTTCGGTTTTAATATTCTGCTCAACATTGTCACTTGCAGTCTTTAAGTTCATTGCTTTTGCAATTGTTCTTTATTTGAGATTTCAAGATCTTAATGGAAAGGTAGAAAAAGGTTTGTACTTTTATTATAAATAATTCTTTAAAACTTTCAAAAGTTACCTGCATCTTTCATGCTAAACTTTATTCGATTGTGTATATTACAAATCCTTTTAAAATCTAAAAAAACTAGAATATTAAAACCTAACATCATGCATCTTCCAAGCTGAACATTGTTCGATTGTGTAAATTACAAATACTTTTAAAATCTAAATAAATTGGAATATTAAAACTTACCATCCTGCATCTTCCATGATAAACAGTTTTCGATTGTGTAAATTACAAATACTTTTAAAATCTAAATAAACTGGAATGTTAGAACCTACCATCCTGCATCTTCCATGCTAAACAGTGTTCGATTGTGTAAATTACAAATACTTTTAAAATCTAAATAAATTGGAATATTAAAACTTACCATCCTGCATCTTCCATGCTAAAGAATTTTCGATTGTATAAATTACAAATTCTTTTGAAATCTAAATAATTTGAATTTTATAATATTGAAGTACCAACATCTTATTGATATTATAATTGTTTTCAGACCTTGATTCTTCAACGACTGCAGAGGATTTTAATAGAAAATATCATTTTCGAGAAGTGTGGCAACACCACGAATATTTACTCTCAGCTGGAAAAACTTTGAACTCCATCTACTCAACTAAACTTCTTATTTGGTTTTCCATAATATTTTTTACTTGTGTTCTTCAAATTTTTGGCGTTTTTTCAAGAAATTGTAACTTCTTTGTTGTTTCCAATCATTTTCTTATATCACTCATTTTCATTCTACTTTTATTGTCAGTGACATCAATCTGTGATTTGACTGCAAGTGAAGTAAGAATAACTGAAAAAAATTTAAACCATAAGAGAATTTATATTATATGATATTTTTCAATATATTACTAATTTTTGTTAATCACAGGCTAATAAGATGGGTAAACTCGTAACATCACCAAAGTTTTTTCAAAGATTTACTACAACTGAAAAGCAGGTAAGATAAAAATGTTTTTTAATTCTAGAGCGGAAGAGATGACAAATAAATATATAAAAATATATTGTTTGGAGTAAAATGTTTTATCCTTATTTTTTTTTATTTAATTTCAGGATATCTGTTTAATTGGACAATACTTTCATTTTAATACCTTTTATTTTACGGCTTTTGGATTATTCAATGTTGAGCTCAATGTTTTATTGACGGTAATGAAGGTCTTAGTAATTAAATTATAATTAGGAAATGTATCTTATTCGACGTCAATTTTTTGTTCTTCTTCTTCAAAGGTTGCCAGCACAATGACGACTTATCTTATAATACTAATGTCACCGAATGAGCGTTAATTACACCAGGATGAAAATTAATTTCAAGCAATGATAGATTTAACCGCAAATTGGACCATATTTCAATTTTTAATCTTTGGACGCGTACATCATTCTGTAATTGAATCTACAATTGAATTTCTAATTTTAAAAAATCTAAGGCTAATTCTAGTGGCATCACAATTTATACTTTTAGTTTTTAATGTATTTTATAGGTATGTAAAATTTCTAAAATTGGAAATAAAAATTTCACTTGACTAAAGAATCATATGAAGTACGAACTGTTGTCGGTTGTCAAAAAGTGATTTATATCATCTCCCAGACGCACCCAATTGAAAGGTAACATGAATGCCTTTGAGATAGCGTTGATGTAATTTATTTTTGACACCTTCTGTTATAAGAAAAATCTGAATTTTTTTTGAAGTTCCAAAGTGCGGATATTAAATTAACCTAATGGACGAAATTTAATTTTTACTGTAATAAATAAATTGTAATAAAAATATTTTCAAGTGAATTTTTTCATAATTCGATGTGCACAACTAATTAATTATTCATTGTGGAAAAACGATTTTTCTATTAAAAGCTTATTAATGTTTATAATATAGATATATTTTAATTTTATGAACTACGCATGTCAGGTACCTGTTTAAAACAATTACGTGGCACGTGTTCTACTTCTAATATCAAACAGTTCATCAAATATGGGTGAGGGGGTAGTACTTTAATTTAGTTCCATAAGAGAAAGTACATGTAATACGAACTCTTTAATATAAATTTAATCGAATAAAAAAAAAATTCATGGTCAGTGTAATTTATAACACTACAGTGGAAAGTATTTCCAATTTACTAATTTAGAATTGTTTCTATCCGATATTCCCCAGGTGCTAATATTTGAAATTTTTAACTTTTGTAACTTCGAATATGTATTTCCACTTGAAGAGATATAGTACTTTTAATATCAAATTATTTACCGTCTTGGGAAAAAATTCTAATATGTCTAATGGAATTCTTATTTACCACACAGTCTATTGATGATATTCCATAGTAGGTTTTTATTTCTATCGGATATGATGGAAATTAATTTTTTATTCTCTATACCATGTCGTTGCATTTCTTCCAACATTTATGAATTTTATCGGAATGTAAACGGAATATAAATATTAATTTTCATTTCTGGTAAATTTTTCCATGTATACAACAGGAGACAAAATACTCATTCGATTGTGTAAATTACAAATCATTTCTATCAAGAGTTTCTATCCATATAGAGTGAGTTAGAAGTGATACTTAGAAGTATGGTCCTAATTCTGATGCTCCGATGTCAATGAGAACAATTTCAAAATGTTTATTAACACATCGCCACGAATTTTTACAATACAAACAATAAAGCACCTACCGAAAGAAAACAGTAATGGTAGATTGTGTATGGAATTAGAGCCAGTTATACAAGTATCTCGGATCTTTGGACTTGCCCCAGTTACAGTGAAGAATGCCAAGTGGACTTTAACTAAACTAGGATTATTCTATTCTGCTCTGTGTTTTGCCTTCTATAGTTATGTGTTTATTGACCGAGTTATAATGTGCATTAATGGAAAATGGGAATATAAATTAAAATTTCTTTATATTACTATCGTAGTAGCAACAGGTTGCTGCATTGTTATGGATTTCATCTTTTGTATATTGGGAAACAAAAAATTACAAGCATATGTAAACAATATAAGACGTTTCGATACATTAATGAAGCCTGGAAATAAAGCGACAATTATGTTCATTAAATTATTTTGGACAGTACATGTCGGACTCTTCATATTTCTTCTTCCAATATCTGTACTCACTTATATGATAGATCTAAAACCAATATTGGGAGCATTTACTTATTTTGTATTTTGTGAAGTGTTGCTTATGGGAATACTCAAATTTCTAGCCTTCACTATACTCCTTTTGATCAGATTTCGTGAATTCAATGATAAATTAGAGAAAGGTTTGTTCTCTCTACAAAAATATATTTATATTTGTATTTACTGTTCACTATTTTTAAATGAAAATAATAAATTTAATTTTTTTAGATATTACATTTTTAATTGACACTAAGGAGAAAAGTAGGAGACTAAATTGGCATGGTTTGTGGAAAAAGCATAAATACTTGATAGAAGCATCAAAGAAGTTGAATTCAAAGTATTCTTTTCAACTTTTACTTTGGTTCTCAGTTCTATCTTTAAATTCCATTTTGCAAATCTATGAATTACTAAAAGGCAATCGTTCAACAAAGGAAAATGTTCGTGAAATGCTACTGGCTGTATTTTTTATACTACTATTGACGGCGTTAGCTTCAATCTGTCATTTTACTGCTACCGAGGTGAAACTTAGTATTATTTTTTGACTATTAAAATTATAAAATAGGTATAATAATTTTAGTTTAGAATATTTTATTCTTTAATATAGAAATGATTTTTACATTACAGGCTAAACAGATGGGTAGATTATTATCTTCTCCTGAATATTGTCAGGAATGCAATTTTCAAGATCAACAGGTAAGTGGAATTATAAATTAAAATAGTTTTCGAAAATTTGTATTGGTGGGAAAATTAAAACGAGGTTCTCAAGAATAAAGTCGATGTGACTCCATAAACAACATTCACAACCCATTGTCTGCCATGTTACTGATTTGCTTACCTAAGGCTATGACATAATCTTCGGATACTTCACGCATGGGTTGATAAATTTTTTTTCAAAATAAACTTTAGAAGAAGAGTTTACTATCATTTATAAATAAAAAAATTTGTTTTCCTTTAATTTCAGATTGTTTTTTCAATCGGTCAGTACTTTCAATGCAACGATTTTAATTTCTCAGCGTGTAACTTTTTCAACATTAATCTTGGTGTACTGTTAACTGTAAGTTACATAAAAAAATTAGTTTTTCAAAAATATATAATTAAATATACACTAATTTTTAGGATAATTTTTACTTTTTGTTAATTTTTCATCTTTTAGTGATATTTTACTCTTGAGAATGCTTTATATATTTATGTAAATTAATTTGAAGTTTTGTTTTTTTATAGATAGCCAGCGCTATAGTAACCTACCTAGTGATATTAATGTAAAAAATAGAATTTTAATTACATATCGAAAAACACAATTAATCTCCATTTCAAGATCTGAGTAATCTACGATAAAATTTATACTACTTGAAACAATTGAATTATTAAAAGAAAAATATTTTTCACTCCAGAAATAAATATATTGTAATCTAAAATTGTATACTCACCTCTTTGAATACGAAAAAAAATTTTTTTTTAATTAATTTTTTTATTGATATTGGGATTTAAGTTGCGAATAGTTTAATTAATTTTCTTTCATAGTCATAAAAATTTTACTGAGTTTTTATCTTACATTTAAATTTATTTCCACTAATGGATAATACACTCACCGAGTAGATATTATATTTCGTAGAATTAATCAACAATTTAATTTTCCTTCTGCAATATTTTTTTGCATTTTCGATTCGTTTGTTTCACACTACAAAATAAATTGTAACCCATTTGAAAATATTTATTCGAAATAATATAAACTGAAGAATTTACACGTTTACTAACAAGGTAAGAAAGAGAATAAAAATCTAATGATACAATTATAAAAAGTAAATAAATTTCTAAATATTTTATTTTAGCAAAGAAAAAAATTTTTTAATTCCAAGAAAAAATTGGCATATTTTTATAAAATGCTTAATTCAAAAATAAGTAAATTCTATTCAAACTCTTATGGAAAAGTAAGATGTATTCGAAGTCAACCACTCGAGGAGAAAGTAATGAAAGAATTAAAATTGATTTTACAAGTAGCTCGATTGTTTGGCTTTGCACCAATTTCAATTCACAATGCAAACTGGACATTATGCAAAAAGGGATTAATTTATTCTGCAATGTGTCTTGCTTTATATATTTACGTATTCACTGATAGAGTTATTATGTACACACGTGAAGATTGGGAAATAAAATTAAAAACTCTCTATATTACAATTGTTGTATCAACAGCATTATGCTCATTGACCGATTGCATTGGCTGTTTATATGGGAACAGGAAAATAAAAAATTTACTAAATTATATTCGTCGCTTTGATATGTCAATGAAAAATAGATATAACTCGTCAACGAGATTCGTCACATGGAATTGGATAATATTTATTGGAATTTTAATATTTCTTCTGGCGATTGTTTGCCTAACGTATGTTTTGGATAAAAAACCGATACTTGGAACATTTGGATATTTTATATTCTGTGTGATACTGATGATTGGAATTTTAAAATTTCTCACATTTGCAATGATAATTTTTGTTAGATTTCGAATGCTTAATTCAAAATTAGTAAACGGTTTGTACTAATAAATTATTTTCGAATTTCAATGATGTATAAATATTATAAAAGTAGAAGCAACGCAGGATTAAATTTATACACCTTTAGATTCGTGTTTCATTTACTAAATTAAATCCGTATTGATTTGATTATTTCTGGAATGTCTAAAAATGTTCTCTTATTATAAAATACATGAAAAATAATTTTTTCTTTTCAGATATGTCTTTAATTTTCGAAGTAGAAAATAATTTAGGTCGTTATATTAAAGTCGCATGGAGACGACATAAATACTTGACAAATGCCGCTAAACTGTTAAATTCCAAGTATACATTGCAATTGCTAATTTGGCTATCAATTCTTTCGTTGAATTCAATTTTACAAATTTATGAACTATTAAAGGGTCATTTGGAAATTTATAGTAATAGTCGAGAAATGTTTCTTGCGATACTATTTCTAATTCTGTTAACAGCTATAACTGTTGTTTGTCATATTACTGCTTATGAGGTAAGTCAGCATTTGTGCAATAAATTAAAATTTAAAATAATAAAAAATATTTCCTTTAGGCTAATAAATTGGGAAGAATTTTAACTTCTCCTGAATATTTCGATAAAGATAATTCACAAAAACTGCAGGTAATAATCTATATCAACATTTTTATGATGTAGAATTTTAATGATGATTGTTCGCTTCTGCTTTTAGATGATATTCTCAATTGGACAATATTTTCTATTTAATCCTTTCAATTTTTCTGCCTGTGGACTATTTAATGTTAATCTTCCCTTGCTGATGGCAGTAAGTCTTTTTTTCTATACATATTTTTGTATTTGTAACGTTCGCTACTAATAGCCAATTATCATTTTCAGATAGCTAGTGGAATAACTACGTATTTAGTAATATTAATGTAACTTTTCCTTTTTTTTAATTTAAATTTTCCTTTTATTAAATATGAATAACTCCATTCCTAAGAAATACATTACAAAAAAGTAAAGCTTTAAAAATTACAATTAAAATATTTGTGGTAGAGAAAATTGTTTCGCTCTCTAACTGAGGATATATGCTCTGTCAATAAACGTTTAGGATTTATTTAAGGGGTTCATCTAGGTATTCATATATATGAAAAGTTTATGAGTAAAAATAAGGTACATTTTTAGAAATATTAAATATTCATTTGTCATTAGATTTCTCTTTGGGGTTGCACTAATGAGAAATATTTTAGTCATCACTAGCTTTATGTGAATAGACAAACCTTTTCAAACTTATGTATAAACTATGATAGTGTAAAAATGAATCACAAGATAGAAACAAATGTATCAGTAATAAATTCTAATGTAAACAAAGAAAACGTTAAATCTAAGTATTTTCATTCAATTAAAGAAAGTACGATTCGAGACCTGAAACCCATTCTTTTTATTTGTCGACTATTTGGAGTCGCACCCTACACAATATCAAGTACTTCTATTTCTAAATCCCAGACTGGAGTTATATATTCGGGAGTTATTGTAATTTACTATCTTTGTGTTATTAGCGCACGTTTAAAAGTTGTTTATAGTCAAAATATAGATGTGAAATTAAAAATACTTACGCTTGCAAGAATTACATTTTTGGTTCTAACTATATGTGCTGATGCAATCCTCTGCATTCATTGGGATCAAAAATTCCAAAATTGTTTAGAAAATATTTGGTCTTATGAAAAAGTGTTTAAATCTGATAAAAAAGGATCAAACCTCATTGTAGTGATAAGTTGGACTCTATCGATTGTAACTATGAGTTTTTATCTTTTTATGGCAATCATGTCATACCTCTACGATAATGACAGGGGCCTAGTTGCTCTTATTGATATCACAATTTTTCCTGCTATAACGTTCAGTATTTTGAAATTCCTACTATTTGTGATTGTCATTCGCAAAATGTTTCGAAATCTCAATCTAAATTTAACAGAAGGTTAGTACAATTAATTTTCATATGACTACAAATAAGAACCAATTTTAAACATAGTTATTTCTAAATTTATAAACTTCTATCTGATTTAAAAAATCTAACCTAATTCAGATTGTAAATCATATTTATTTGAAACAGATTCTTCTGCGGGTGAAAAGGTCAATGTTAAGAAATCTAACTTTCAAGAACTATGTTTGCTTCATGATCAATTAGCTTCAGCAATGGATGATTTAAATTCTCTGTACTCGATTCCAATGCTCCTGTGGATATCGGCTATAACTTTTAATATATTATCAAGAAATTATCAACTTTTTATTATAAAAACTATCAGATATTTTTACAATGATTTGAGAGAAATACTTTTCTTGATATATTACATTTTAATATTAACAGCACTAACCATAATCTGTCAGATAACTGCTAAGGAAGTAGGTATAATTAATTTCTTAAAAGTTGCATATTTCTTCAGTGTATATTCATGTATATTCTATTATACATATTTCTTCAGTGTTAAAACACTGAAGAAATATGTAACATTTAAAGATATACATATTTCTTCAGTGTTATAACACTGAAGAAATATGTAACTTTTAAGGATATACATATTTCTTCAGTGTTGTTACACTGAAGAAATATCAAACTTTTAAGGAAGTGTTAAAACACTGAAGAAATATGTAAGGTTTAAAGATATACATATTTCTTCAGTGAAGAAATATGTAATGTTTAAAGATATACATATTTCTTCAGTGTCATAACACTGAAGAAATATGCAACTTTTAAGGAAGAATTATAATACTGAAGAAATATATAACTATTAAGGAAGTGTTGTAACACTGAAGAAATATGTAAGGTTTAAAGATATACATATTTCTTCAGTGTTATAACACTGAAAAAATATGTAACTGTTAAGGATATACATATTTCTTCAGTGTTGTAACACTGAAGAAATATCAAACTTTTAAGGAAGTGTTAAAACACTGAAGAAATATGTAAGGTTTAAAGATACACATATTTCTTCAGTGAAGAAATATGTAATGTTTAAAGATAAACATATTTCTTCAGTGAAGAAATATGTAATGTTTAAAGATAAACATATTTCTTCAGTGTTATAACACTGAAGAAATATGCAACTTTTAAGGAAGAATTATAACACTGAAGAAATATGAAAGGTTTAAAGATATACATATTTCTTCAGTGAAGAAATATGTAATGTTTAAAGATAAACATAGTTCTTCAGTGAAGAAATATGTAACATTTTAAGGATATACATATTTCTTCAGTGTTGTAACACTGAAGAAAGTGTTAAAACACTTAAGAAATATGTAAGGTTTAAAGATATACATATTTCTTTAGTGAAGAAATATGTAATGTTTAAAGATAAACATATTTCTTCAGTGAAGAAATATGTAACTATTAAGGATATACATATTTCTTCAGTGTTATAACACTGAAGAAATATGCAACTTTTAAGGAAGAATTATAACACTGAAGAAATATGTAAGGTTTAAAGAAATATGTAACTTTTAAGGATATATGTAACTTTTAAAAATAAGATTTTTTGAAGATGTTTACAAATTATTGAAAAGAATGTAATCTAACATTCGTTTGCAGGCTAACAAAATATCGTCAATTATGTTCTCACCTAAATGCTATCAAAGACATGCCCAAAATATGAAAAATGTAAGTAGAAAATAATCTTCAAATTCATGTTAAATTTCAAAAAGTGAAAACAAAAAATATTCAAATGTTTAAAATGTTTTAAATTCTTCTTTTCTAGGACATTTCAAATGTTGGATACTACTTTCACAATTATTCCTTTAAATTTACAGCAGCCTTTGGACTATTTGCTGTTGATCTTCAGTTACTTCTGACTGTAAGTCATTAATTTTAAACTTAAATAAAAGATTGCTTCGAATACGTTCGTGAAGATAAAAAAGTTTTTTTTATCTCCAGATAGCGGGAGCAGTGACCACGTATTTTGTAATCCTACTACACTGAGACAATTTTTTCATTTACCTTGTAGTGTATGATAAATTTTTTTAAAGAATAAAGTAGTGTGCAAAATTAATTAATTATTTGTTAAGTGCTAAAAGAAGGAAGTGTGAAAAAAATCGATTATTTGACGTCGTTTATGATACTAATTTATTTACCACGTTGATGGCTAATTAAGGAATTTTATTTCAAAAAAAAAACTTTAATGGACAATTTGAGATATTTATTATTCATGTTGTCATCAATCCTTAATTTTGGATTTCACTCTAAACGAAGCAATTTGTGAACAGTTTGTACTTCAAGTTAACAAAGCAACAATTTAATTACAATTTCATACTATAAATATGGAAGTTAAAAAGAAAAGAATTAAAAATCAATTGTGTCATAGTGAAGTCACCAAAAGGCGAGCCGAAAGGAATACAGTTCGTAATCTAAAATCAATTCTCTATATTTCTCGATTATTTGGATTGGCACCCTACACAATATCAAGTAGAAAAATTTCAATATCGCAAGCAGGAACGATATACTCGGGAATAATTATAATCTACTATATCTACATTATTTGTTTACGTACAAAAGTTGTTTACAATCAAGAAATAGATTTTAATTTAAAGGCACTTACAATTGCAAGAATAATGATTATGCTCACAACTACGTGTGTGGACGCTCTTCTCTGCATTTATTGGGACAAAAAGTTACAGAATTGTTTAAACAATATAGAATATTATGAAAAATTGCTAAACTTTGAAGAAATAGGAACAAAATTTGTAGTAATTACATGGATTGTAATTTTTGGAAATTTGATCTTATATTTATTTTTGGCATCACTTTCGTATTTGTTCGACAATGATGATGGACTAATTGCTCTTATTTATCTCACACTCTTTCTTGCCATGACATTTGGTATTTTGAAGTTTTTAATAATTGTCATTATTATTCGAAGGAGATTTCGATACTTTAATTCCTGTTTCGCAAAAGGTTTGTTTCTCTCATATTTACAAAATGATCACTAACCCTTTTGAGGCTTTTAGCTTCTAAATTTTATTTATATTTTAAACAGAGTTTCCTGATAGTGAACAACTTGATATTAAATTGTGTAATTTTCGAGATTTATGGTTAATTCACGATGAATTAACATCTGGAATTGAAGATTTAAATTCGTTTTATTCAATTCAATTGTTCCTGTGGATATCATCTATAAGCTTTAACATAATCTCAAGAATTTATATCTTTTTTATTCTGAACACTGTCAGATTTTTTTACACCGATTTAAGGGAAATTCTTTTTTTGATACATTTTTCAACGCTATTAACGTCTCTCGCAGTTGTCTGTCATATTACTGCTGAGGAAGTAAGCTGTACAATAATTAGAATAATTTATCTCATATCCTTCATCAGATGCATGACAGGTAGTTTAATTTTTTACTCGTTATTTTAAATATATTAATGGAAATTTCTTTTCTCCAGGTCAATGAATTATCTTCGACTATTTTTTCTCCTAGATATTATCAAAGGCATCAGCAAAATGAAAAAATAGTAAGCATATTTTCTTGTAAGATTTGTGAAAATTAAAAAATTAAATTATGTAATTATTAATTAATTGAATTTTAATTCTATTAATAGAGTCATTGTCTAGAAAGTAGAATTACTGGAATTTATTATAGTTTCTGGTTAAAAGAATAATTGTTTCTATCTTCTTTATTATTAGGAGACTTCGTTCATTCGACACTACTTTCTCAACAAGTCCTTCAATTTCACAGCAGCTTTTGGTCTATTTAATGTTGATCTTCAATTACTACTTTCTGTAAATTATCAATTTTGATTTTACACTTATAAACAAAGACTATTTATTTACTAATTGAATTTTATTTTGTAATTTAATTTCTCTCGTTTCAGATAGCGGGAATAATTACTACCTATCTTGTCATATTATTAGGACGATACTGAAGTTTTAGAACCCACAAAGTATTACACGCTCAGTGTCCCATTAAATAATCGTCTAATTTATCTAAAATAAGCATTTCTGTCTAAAAATTTTGTTTGTGGAACTCAAAGTATTTTTATAAATATCAAAAATTTCCTATAGTCTCATACAACTACAAGGTGAATAACCTCTTGCACCCTTGTCAGTAGTAATTAATTCAAAGAATATAAGACAAAAAGAGAATGGGCTATCAATTACTATTCTTGTATTGATAATACTCTGTCAGCATTCTCACATGTTTCCCTCCTCATTTATTTCTTCCTTTTCGGTAGATAATAATTCTCCCTATGCCATATTTTTCTAATTTAGCTCGCCAATAATCAAATGGTCAATGGTATGCCACACGCATCCTTTGGAATGTAGAAAACTTTTCGTTTTCCCTTTTTTAAAAGAACAAAATAATTTTTAACATTCATTGAACTTAAAAAAAAATACTTATTTAATACCAGGAAGAGAAAATGGAAAAATTTAACATAAAAAGTATATATATTTTAATAATTAATGATGCTTATTTTCAGCATTATTAAAAATTTATGATAAGTAGTTTTTGAGTACGACAATTACACCGCTCTTCTTTTTTCAGTTAATCCATTTTCCCACTAAACATGTGCTAATCATGAATTCCAATATCAGATAACTTGAATAATTACCGATATTCACATACTTCCGCTTTCGGGGCATTAATTCTTGTAGTCTTTAAATTATAAAGTTCAGTAAGTTAGTTGGAAAGATACGCTTGTGAACAAAATTCTTCTAATTTAAAAAGTAAATATGCAAATTCGTTAAAAGAAGAAATTTTTTTTTAGATAGAGTAAGAAAGAAATAGCGTTACCAGAAATAAGAAAACGTTATTTTAATTGGATATAGAGAAAGAAGTAAATCCTGAACAGAGAACTTGGATTAGTGGAAGAAAAGTGATGCCTTGAATCTTGTTGATAAAAGCTAAAGGTAAGAATATTTTTACTAATAAATTAATTATAATCCCTTTTTTTACAATTCACCATTTAATTAAAATCCCTTTCTTTAAAATCCTAATTCGATTTAGGAATTCAAGAATTAAAATTTCTAATTCGAATGGAAAAAGAATTTTTCAAAACGAGGTGAAAGTTAAAGAAGAAAAAAATGCAACATACAAGTATCTATGTGGCACCACTTCATAAAATAAATAATAAAAATTTCAAATCATTCTCTAGTCAATCACTTGAAGAGCGTACGATTCATGATTTGAAGCCAATTCTTTATGTTAGTCGACTTTTTGGAATGGCACCCTATTCAATGACTAATAAGAAAATTTCTCTATCTAACATTGGAGTAATATATTCCGGAGTAGTAATTATTTTCTACGTTTATGTTCTTTTTAATAGAACAAAAACTTATTATAATGAAACTATGGATATGAAACTCAAAGTATTATCAATTTCAAGATTAATGCTCTTAATATTAACTCTATGTGTTGATATAATTCTCTGTATTTATTGGGATCGAAAGATGCAAAATTCTTTATATAATACTTGGTACTATGAGAAAATGATAAAATTTAAAAGAAAGAAACCCTTCAGCTTTAGAAAAGTAACATGGATTCTGACAATTGTCAATGTGATATTCTTTCTATTAATAGCATTACTTTCCTATAAATTCGATAAAGCTGAAGGACGAAGTGCAATTGTTTATATCACATTATATCTTGCTATGACATTTGGTGTTTTAAAATTTTTGCTCATTGCAAATATTATTTGCAGGAGATTTCAAGATCTTAATTCCCATTTAACAGATGGTTTGTAGTTTTTAATATGTGTGGCAAAGATTAGAATTATGTAAAATTTGTGTATGTATAAATATTAATTTTAATCTAATTCTTCACAGAATTAACTGTTAGTAAAAGACTGGATGTTATCAATATAAACGAAGCCTGTAATTTACTTGACTTATGGTCCCTCCATGAACAATTATCCCTAGCAATAAAGGATTTAAATTCTCTCTATTCACTACAATTGTTCCTGTGGATTTCAACAATTGGATTTAATATAATTTCAAGAATTTATGTCTTCTGTACGACTATACTTAATAAAAATTTCTTTTGGGATTTGCGAGAAACATTATTGTTAATATATTTCATCACGTTATTGGCATTTTTGACAATCACTTGTCATATAACTGCTAAACAAGTATGAAAGAATAAAGAATAATTTCTATAAATGAAAAATATTTTACATTATAAAATATAAAAATCTGTTGCAGGCAAATAAGATGTCATCAATTATCTTTTCTCCCAAATATTTTCAACGAAGTCAACAAAGCTCTAAGGTACATACACAATTTTCAATCTTAACAAATTGAAAGTAACTTTGTAGGCAAAAAAGGAAATTGTTTAATACGTATTCACTTAATTTTAGGTGAAATTGTTCATGGGGCACTATTTACTCAAATACTGCTTTAATTTTACAGCAGCTTTTGGATTTTTCATTGTTGATATTCAACTACTTCTTTCTGTAAATAATCAAATTTTTTATAATCTACTGTTATAGTATTTAAAAAATATGTGATAATTATATATTTGCAGATTGCTGGATCAATAACAACGTATCTTGTGATAATAATTGGACCTAATAGTTTGTAAAATTAACTTGACTTGGCATTTAGGAAAATAATAATTAAGGAATAAATCTACAATTATATCAACATTATATTTCATACTAAATTTTTTTTATATTTGCTATACCATTATATTTATTAGAATGATGATGTAATTTGGTACACTAACTAAAGTATAAAACGCATAAATATTGTAAAGATATAAAAGTTTGTAAGAATATTTATTAAGAAAATAAATTTAACTGTTTTTAAATGGATAATTCTGAGTTTATTTATTAAACTAGTTTTCATCAACGCCAGGTTATTTTTAAATAAAAACTTTTACATCTGCTGTATATCTTGGTAATATGATGATTTGCACTCCCCTAGACATACGGCGTGCGTAATGAGTGTAATAGTAATTTTTTTCTTCGCAGTGGCGCTAGCGCAGTCAGTAGCTTATCGGTAATACGTATTCACTTTGTAATAATTATGTTTCAGATTAATTATCATAAAAAAGTATAATTATCCCTTAAACTAAATGAGATTTTAATGTTCTAGTAAAAATTGGACTACTAATTATGACATTAAGCTTATCTTTTGACCCTAGATCTAATTACAATTTACAATAAAGAACTTTAATGTCAACTCCTTAATTTTAACACAGCGCACCAGCGCATTTTAACACTTAACATTTTTGCACGTTTATCAACATTTAACTTAACTTCCGCGCTTACTGTATTGCTGCATCACAACAAAAATTGAAGGTAAGAAATATCTTTACCATTTTATGGTACTTTTATCACATTAGGAGTGTTTTTACTTACAAACCTCGAAAATAGTTATTATTTTAAAAATGTTCCAGATTCAAAATACATCACAATTAAATCACTTTTAATTCTTTTAAATTAAAGAATTTAGTGTCAAAATATTTTTAATAATAATGGATAATAAGAAATGCACGAAAATAGTTGTAAAATCTTCTAAGAATATAGTGCACAAGGGCAATAATAAATCAGAATTAAAGAATACAGAAATTCGAGATTTACAGCCAATTTTAATTGTCTGTCAATTGTTTGGCATGCCACCTTACTCAATATCCAAGACGAATATTCGTTTATCTAAAATTGGAATTATTTACTCGTCTTTAATTGTGATTTATAATATTTTCGCTGTGTACAAACTTGTGGAATCAGTTTATAATGAAACAATGGATAAAAAATTAAAATATTTGATAATTACGAGATTAATGCTTCTACTCTTAAATATATGCACTGACATTATTTTTTCATTACTCGGACAACTGAAGTTGCAGAATTTATTGAAGAATACCTTCTATAAGGAAAAATTTCAGAAAAGGGGAAAAAGTTATTTTTTCCCATTAAGCATAATTCTAGTAATTGAAACAATTATTTTTTTTCTCTTCATCGCATTATTACTTCCCATTCTATTTCACAAAAATAATGTACTAAGTTATGTTCTGTACATCACATCTAATCAAGCAACGGCATTTAGTATTTTAAAATTTTTATCTATTGTAGCAGTTGTTAGGAAAAAATTTCAAGATCTTAATTCGACTTTAATGAAAGGTTTGTTGAAACAACGTATTTTTCTTGTTTTTATTATTTTCATGTATATATATTTAATTTTACAGAGATAAGTTCAAAAAGTGAAATTAATACAAACAAATTATGTAATCTAGAAGACTTATGGTATTCTCACGAACAATTATCTACAGTAATAGAAGAATTAAATTGTTTATTTTCAATGCAACTGCTGTTTTGGATATTGACAATAATTTTTAACATAATTTCAAGAATTTATATCTTTTTTACTTTCAAGACAGTATCTGTCTACTTATATACGAGGGAAATTCTTCTTTTACTACATAATATTAAATTATTAGTATCTTTAGCAATCGTTTGTCATATTACAGCTGAGGAAGTAAGTATCAATTTGTTTTAAGATTAAATAATGTCCTTACGATATCTCAGAATATCGCTGGGACATCCTACGAACATAATATAGATTTCGGATTTCCTGAATATCCAGATGTAATTAGGGAACCTTGAATTTAATATTACTTTGACTCTATATACGAAATCATTTTTTTGCAGGTTAATAAGATGTCATCAATTATATTTTCACCTACTCATTTTCGACGAAGACAACAAACATTGAAAAAAGTTAATAAAATTTTTATTTACATAACTGAAAGATATAATTTTACTTTCTCGGGTAAATATTATTAAATACTTTGCTTACTTTTAGGACAACGTCATAATATTTCAATACTTTCTCAAACAATCGTTTAGTTTTAAAGCAGGCCATGGACTTTTCGTTGTCAATGCTCAACTACTATTTTATGTAAATTTTTTATTATTACTAGTAATAGGTACTCAGATTTTTTTCTACTCAGAAAAAAATTTATTAATAATTTATTTTTTAATGAAAAAATATTAAATAATATAAGTTTTATATTCTGTTATTACTGACAGATAGCTGGAGCAACTGCAACTTATCTCGTGATATTAGTAGGCCCCTATGCTTTCTCTAATTAATAAACAGGCAGATCTAAGACTATTGTTATTAAAAATATTCCATTTATTTTTTAATGACAAGAAATTCCTTTCTATGACACGTAAGTAACGTAAATCTACTTATTCTCAAATATAATCTCCTTAATAAATAAAATAAACTCTATAAATATATATATGTAACCACGTATTCATTTTGTAATTATTATGATTCAGATTAATTAACGTCAAAAAATTATGTTGATTCCCTAAAGTAAATGGGATTTTAATGTTCTAGTAAAAATTTGATCACTAATTGTAAGTCATTAAGCTTCGACCCTAAATCTAATTGCAATAAATGAGGACTTTACTGTCAACTGCATATGGTTTTAACACAACATGTTTAAAGACTGTTTACATGGGTCAAAATAAGTGAAACCGGCCACTTGAAAAATTTTTGTCCCCGAATTGAAAGTTATCTATGGTTTTTGATAGATATATGAGTAAACTTTTACCCGCTAAAATATTTTTCAAAAATTTTATTTATTTTGAAAGTTATCAGGTGTTAAACTTTTAGGTTACTTTTTATTCTTTTCATTATTACTCCGAAACGAATGAAGATAATTTCAATTTTTTTTTTGGAAATTAAAGCTAAAAGTCTGTAGTTTAAAGTGCAACTGAAAAAATTGCTGTATAATAAAAATTTTTAATTGTTATTAACAATTATTTTAAACAATTGCGATTTAAAGTATGTTCTCAATGTCGGAAAAAAATCAAACTATACTCATGTGATGCGCAAAACTCTAACGAGTAAATTAAAAAAAAAAAAAGTGAGTAACCTCTAAAATTACAGAAGTTATGCATATTTTTCTGACGACGCGCGGGAATTAACTGATTCGCAAACTCTCGAGCGCGCGGGAATACGCCCGCCGCACTGCTCACACTTGTGTTTTCAAACAATTTATGTTTACAGAGAAGGAGAAGTAATTAAAATATTATTTTCTTACTGAATAGTTTATTAATATTTTTACTTTTGGAGTAATTATATACATAAAAACCATTTTGTATGTACTCATAAACTGCTTTGCAGTTTTTATGCTTTGATAAAAAACTTTTTTCGTGGGTCTGATATTCTTGAATCGTACAAAAATCGAAATCGATATTGTTTGTGTAGAATTTCATCAAAAAATTTTTTAAATAATTGGATTTCTAAATAAAATAATTGAATCATTTGTCACTTCTCCAAAATTCAATTTTTATTAGTGTTTTAACTGAAATTTCTTCTATAAATTCGCTATTTTTAATAATTTATTATTTCTTAAAATTGTATTCCCATAAAGAATTTTATTAACAAATTTTTAAATAATTGAATTCTTTAAACGAGTTTTAATAAAATGTTTAAGAATAATTATTATTCTTAAACATTTTATTTATTTATTTATTATTATTATTATTATTATTATTATTATTATTATTATTTATTATTATTATTTTTTTTTATTTATTATTTTATTTATTTATTTATTTTTTATTTTTATTTTTTGTTTTATTTTTTTTTAATAATAATTATTCTTAAACATTTTATTAAAACTCGTTCAAAGAATTCAATTATTTAAAAATTTGTTAATAAAATTCTTTATGGGAATACAGTTTTAAGAAATAATAAATTATTAAAAATAGCGAATTTATAGAAGAAATTTCAGTTAAAACACTAATAAAAATTGAATTTTGGAGAAGTGACAAATGATTCAATTATTTTATTTAGAAATCCAATTATTTAAAAAATTTTTTGATGAAATTCTACACAAACAATATCGATTTCGATTTTTGTACGATTCAAGAATATCAGACCCACGAAAAAAGTTTTTTATCAAAGCATAAAAACTGCAAAGCAGTTTATGAGTACATACAAAATGGTTTTTATGTATATAATTACTCCAAAAGTAAAAATATTAATAAACTATTCAGTAAGAAAATAATATTTTAATTACTTCTCCTTCTCTGTAAACATAAATTGTTTGAAAACACAAGTGTGAGCAGTGCGGCGGGCGCGGGCGCGGGCGTATTCCCGCGCGCTCGAGAGTTTGCGAATCAGTTAATTCCCGCGCGTCGTCAGAAAAATATGCATAACTTCTGTAATTTTAGAGGTTACTCACTTTTTTTTTTTTTAATTTACTCGTTAGAGTTTTGCGCATCACATGAGTATAGTTTGATTTTTTTCCGACATTGAGAACATACTTTAAATCGCAATTGTTTAAAATAATTGTTAATAACAATTAAAAATTTTTATTATACAGCAATTTTTTCAGTTGCACTTTAAACTACAGACTTTTAGCTTTAATTTCCAAAAAAAAAATTGAAATTATCTTCATTCGTTTCGGAGTAATAATGAAAAGAATAAAAAGTAACCTAAAAGTTTAACACCTGATAACTTTCAAAATAAATAAAATTTTTGAAAAATATTTTAGCGGGTAAAAGTTTACTCATATATCTATCAAAAACCATAGATAACTTTCAATTCGGGGACAAAAATTTTTCAAGTGGCCGGT